GACATGACACGTTGACGTGTTAGCCGCCATCTTGTGTTCATCATCATCATCATTTCAGCCATAGAACGTTCACTGCTGAACATAGGCCTCCCCCAATGCTTTCCATGTTGATCGATTGGTAGCGGCCTGCGTCCAGCGCTTCCCCATCTTGAGTTAAAGGGCCCAAAATTCGATGGCCTTTTTGTTTTGACTTTTAGTTGGCCGATAGTTGGGTCGGGTTGTTAATCAGTAGAGATGTATGAAAGTATTGTGGTATGACTATTGTGGTGAGCTCACTCGTAATACAAGCTTATTTAGCTTAGTACATTGGTTCCCAAAGGGGGGGGCGCGCCCCCCAGGAGATACGCAAAGATCTTTTAAGGGGGGACGCGGGCCATCTGTGTAATTAAGTATAAAAAACCTGCGACCGCTGCGAGAATGCATTCCAGACTGCTCGATACGACCAATAAATAATCTTGACTGGAGGAGGGGGGCGCGGTATTCTTGTCCGGTCGAAAGGGGGCGTGACTTAAATAAGTTTGGGAACCAATGGCTTAGTACGAGGGGCTAACGGGACTGTTAGTAATTTGTGTAATAACAAATTACTAAAGAAGTGCGCACATTACACCGATTTGGTATCGGCCGATTCTTCATACAAATTGAAATCGGGCCCAACTATCGGCCGACTAAAAGTCGGTGGTCTGCGCCTAGGCTTAATCTAATGTTTCAATAGTTGATTTTATGACAAAAATGTCTATGAGAAGTACAAAGCTGATAAAATTTCAAGTATAAAAATAAAAGGAAAACATTGTATAATCTGGTCTGCGAGCATGTAGAATTTTGTCCAATGACCCCAAAATACCCATCCTTATCGCTCGCGCGTAATTATGTTGCTGTCGCGCTCGCACACTCACTGCGGGCGCCCGTCGCACAGTCGCGACAGCAATATAATTACGCGCGAGCGATAAGGATGGGCAGCTTGGGGTCATTGGAAAAATTCTACGTGCTCACAGACCGGGCTTTAGTTTTAATGTAACATATTAGAAAAATATATGAAAAAAAAAAAGGAAAACTCACCGGGCATCCATCTGATAATGCTTTAAGGGATATGTCTGTTATGCTCGGACACGAATCGAGGTTTATCCTGGAAAGAATAGAATGTATATTTAATATACTGGTAACACTAGTCTTGTATACAGGGTGTGAAGAATTGGGGTACAATTTTCGGGTACTTTAAATGTACCCCAAAGTATTTACAAAATTTAATTTACCTAAATAATACCACTATAAACAAGACAAACTACAAACAATACGTCAACTACATAAACGAAAACATAATCAATCTAAGAAATAACCAAAAAATAGTCAAAAAGAAACAAAATATACTTCAAAAATGTAAAAAATCCTAAAAACCGAAACAAAAAAAGATAAAATCAAAGAAAAAACTACTAAAAATAAAACGGAAAATGTTATATTTTTCAAAAAACGTACTTTCATGCCACAGTCCGTACGGGTCTATCAACAACTTTCCTAAAAAACCAAAAAGTAAAAAAAAACTAAAAAACAACGAAAAAAGCGTCAAACCGCTAAAACAACAAAAAAAATCGAAACAACTACAAAACCAAAAGAAAAGAAGCGACAACTAAAAACATCCAACACTGAATTAACGACATAGATACCTATTTTGTTCCAAACTTCAGAACGACGACATGGCAAACCGTGCACATCGCAAAATGTCCGAATTACAAATATGGGACTGCAAAATCGGCCATATTGCAAAGTGTACGGTTCACAGGAGTTACGACGACATCTATGCAAACGTTTTCTTTAGAAGAAAAAATCGTTGAAGAAGATTTTCCTTAACCTAAATCTTTTAAAAAACTAGATCCTTAAACGTGTGGCAATAGAGAATTGAATTGAATTTTGATCTAATCACTGAATGGCAAAAAAGATGGGATACGTCAAGTAAAGGGCGTCACTTAAATAAATTACTAGCTTTCCGCCCGCGGCTTCGCCCGCGTGGAATTTTGTCTGTCACAGAAAAACTTTATCGTGCGCGTCCCTGTTTCAAAAACCGGAATAAAAACTATCCTATGTCCTTTCCCGGGACTCAAACTATCTCTATGCCAAACATTAAAATCGGTTAGTGGTTTAGGCGTGAAAGCCAGACAGACAGAGTATGAGACTTTCGCATTTATAATTAGACTAGCTTTGGTCGCCCGCTACGCGGGCTACAAAAGCTAGATCTGCGATGCTGGCCGCTCCGGGCTTCGCCCTACGCGGCGCTCGGCCTGCGGCCTCGCATTCGGAGCTCGGCCTTCGGCCTCGCAAAAATTACAGGGGGCGTTCTCGTTTGTCACGGTGCTCTTGTGCTTTTTTGCCGCAACGCAAGTAAATCTATGGCGACTGTGGGTATTTGAACCATCGCTCGGCCTTCGGCCTCGCCTTTCTGTCTGTCANATGGAAACCATTGGGGGAGTCTTATAGGACTTTATTCCTATCCTGTATTCAGCAGTGGATGTCCTATGGCTGAGATGATGATATGATGATGATGATGATGATGAAAGAAGATATTTAATTTTGTTATTTAGACAAAAAATGATTTTTTTATAAAAAACTAATTAAAAAGTGTTCCATAAAAGTAAGTTCTATTATTTCAATAACACTGTTAATCCTATAAGTTTTTTTCACGTGAGACGGATGGCCACATTTGTAGACATAAAAAGAAAATGCATTTTCTCGAAAAGTATAACACTAGGATTTTTTTCATTATTTTTTTCTTACATACCTTACTATACTTTAGTTGCATAAATTTTACTAAATTGATCGGGTGAAAAAAAATAATTCAGGTCTGAAAGGGATAAGGTACAAAATACACTGCAAATGAGGGTTTTCGCGAATGAAAAATCCGCCAGATGGCAATACGTAGACGCGAGTTCCAAATCGTAAAGGTAGCAGGGAAGCGCTGGACGCAGGCCGCTACCAATCGGGCAGCATGGAAAGCATTGGGGGAGGCCTATGTTCAGCAGTGGACGTCCTGTGGCTGAAATGATGATGATGAGGTCCAAATGCTGCATGATTGGTTATTTTTGACATGACATTGACAGATATGTCAAAATCCACCAATCGCGCAGCAGTCAGACCCCACGTCCACGTCCCGCCATCTAGCGGATCTTTCATTCACGAAAACCTTCATTGATGAAAAAGATAACTTCTAATTTTCATTCATAGATGGCGCTATTCCGAGTTGAATCGCGGTAACCGCCAGTTGTAAGTTGTCAAAACGCGATTGTCTTGGTAAAAAGAAGGTACGACATCTCTAATTAATTATCACTGGTTTATTGACTTTAGGGCCTTGCCACACTGGCGGATTGTAAACGTTTTCTGGGCGGAGCAGCGGCGGCATTTTGCAAGCATTTTGGTAGACCCTTCATTAGGTGGACCGACGATTTGGTGCAGGTCGCGGGAAGTAGGCACCTGAATGGAAATGAACCAGGACCGGTCTTTATGGAAATCCTTGGGGGAGGCCTTTGTCCAGTAGTGGACGTCATTTGGATGAAATGAACAAAACATACATTCATCTTCTTACCCCCTTACTAATAAAAAGTTACACGGTTGTTGATCACTGTTTTAAAATGACATTTCCATACTAAACGTCACTTTAAAACACTGATCAACGAGTGTGTAAGTTTTATTAGTAAGGGGGTAAATATAAAAAAGGAGAAATTGACTGACTCACTGACATATCAACGCACAGCCTAAACGGCTAAACGTAGGCACTTGAAATTTGGAAGGGACGTAGCTTAGGTACCGTAGAGGTGCACTAAAAAAGGAATTCCCGAAATTCCCCCGGGAACGGGAATAAGCGGGAAAATCCTTTAGTATGAAAAATCTAAACCGCTTAAGTTAGACGCTTGAAAAGACAATGCCGGAAATTGGCGTCTTTTTTTTTCGCGCGGCCATCGACCAAACTTTGTTTTTTGATTACAAAATAGTGTAATAAACCAAACTTACTATGTCATGTATACCTCTAAACTCAGTCTGAACTGAGTTACGAGCATTAGAAGTTTGATGATTTTCATACTAGATTTGCTTTTTGCGCGCAAAGTTTTGTAAGAAATTGCAACAAAATAGTGAGATTGTATATGTAAACAAACAATACCATCCATTAAAAGCTCCAGACATCAGTATGGAGCAGAATCAGCGCAATAAAAAAATAGCGCAATATTTTGTTGCAATTTCTTACAAAACTTGCGCACAAAAAGCAAATCTTGTATGAAAATCATCAACCTTCTTATGCTCGTAACTCAGTTCAGACTGAGTTTAGAGGTATACCATGCCATAGTAAGTTTGGTTTATTACACTATTTTGTAATCAAAAAACAAAGTTTGGTCGATGGCCGCGCGAAAAAAAAGACGCCACTTTCCATACAAAATCTGGCATTGCCATTTGGCATGCAGGTACCTTAGTAAACTTAAAGCTTAGTTCCAACAGGATATTGCTAAATTCCCACGGGAACGGGAGTTAGCGGGAAAAAACATTTGTATGAAAAAATCTAAGCCGCGTAAGATAGATGAAGGGGGTAAAACGGGATCCACGCGTACGAAGTCGCGGGCGGCCGCTAGTAAATAATAAATAACATATCAACGCACAGCCTAAACGGCTAAACGTAGGCACTTGAAATTTGGAAGGGACGTAGCTTAGGTACCGTAGGGGTGCACTAAGAACGGAATTCCCGAAATTCCAACGGGAACGGGAATTAGCGGGAAAATCCTTTTGTATGAAAAATCTAAACCGCTTAAGTTAGACGCTTGAAATTTGGCATGCAGGTAGGTACCTTAGTAAACTTAAAGCTTAGTTACAACAGGATATTGCAAAATTCCCATGGGAACGGGAGTTAGCGGGAAAAAACATTTGTATGAAATAATCTAAACCGCGTAAGATAGATGAAGGGGGTAAAACGGGATCCAAGCGTACGAAGTCGCTGGCGGCCGGTAATAATTATTATAGAAAAATAGTACCTTTCATTGGTGTCTTCGGTGAGCAACAACTCTGCGCAGGAATCGGGCAGCGACATCTCGCGGACTGCTCTTAGAGCGATCTGTGGACAAAAAAAATGATAAAAATATGATCCTTCGAGCCGGATAGTATTTTTATTTTATTTTATTTGGAAAACCTACAGCATATTTATGATCCCTAGAGCGGGATAATAAGGCTCTATGACCGGGATATGCTCCGTCAGGGCGAATAACATTGTTCTTCTAGTCAGATGATATTATGGTCCTTCAAACCTAATACTCTTGTCCATCGGGCCGTACCATATAGACCATGTTATTGCCATTCGACCCAGATATGATCTTTTAAGCCCGATAACATGAGCCTTAGATATAGATATAGAGCCAGATAAATGGTCCTTCGAGCCGGATCACATCCCTCACGGGCGCGGGGTCATGCGCATGCTACTTTAATGCACGAGCAGCAGGCGGGAGCAGAGATATGGTTCGTCAAACCGCATATGGTCCTTCGAGCCGGACGCATGGTCCTTCGAGCCGGACACATGGTCCTTCGAGCCGGACGTATGGTCCTTCGAGCCGGATCTCACCTGTTCTCTAACAGGCGCGGGGTCGTGCGCGTGCAGCCTGAGCGCGCGCGCGGCGGGCGGCGCGGCGCATAACTCGCGTGCACGTGCACGTAACGCGGCGAGCACGCGCGGAGACACGCACGCGCCTTCCAACGCGCCCTGCCCGGCGGGAGCTGCGACGTTATTTCGTGCTGCGGCCACCTGTGAAGAGAATATGCCACGTCAACACACGTAGTCATAAGTTCAATAGACTATAGACAGCACCTTACTATCTATTTAACCCTTAACCACTGACGTGTCATTTTGTTACACTAACACTGACGTACGTACGGTATACGTACCTAACTTTGAAGACCTCGTGATGTATCAATAGAGTGCTACTTTGGTGATATTTGAATTTAAATTACTTACACGTTTATATTAAAACAGAGATGGTAAAAAAACATATTAACATTTATTTTATTTTATTCAATAAGTACACATACAGGTTACAGTCATTTACATATCAAAATACATAAACAAAATGAACATTGTCTAGACTCCAACCTACAAGTAGCGTACATTTAAGTTACGATGATTTCATTTACGTTGCACAATTAATAAACACATACAAAATGCTCAAATACACAACCCTATAAACTAATAACATTAATAAAATAGTATGATATTGGTGAAATCCTCCAGAGGTAATAAAATATACACAGGCATTTTTTTTAAATCAACACAAACCTTTACCTTACCTTGGGTTACCTTTTTTTTTTAAATATTTATTTTGACGTTCGTAAGCGTCAAATCTTGTTCTAAATTTAATAAGGATTTATCATTTCAGCGTAGCGCTCACTCACCATATACAGGGTGTCAGGAATACGGTGCATGTAGCGCGCTCGTCTCAGCCGTGCTAATTCTGCTTCCGGCACCGCCTGTCCTTCCAGCAAAGCCTGGAGATCAAACGGTACAACTTGAAAGTATAACTATAAACATAATAGATATATCACTAGACGCACACGAGAAGGTTTGACGATTTCGTAGACTTTTAGAGCATACTAAGGCTGAGTTGCACCACCTCACTTTAACCGTAACAAGTGCTTAGTAACCGGTGCTTTTTGTATGGAGTTCGACAGATTTTTGATGTTTGTCAAAGTTAAAGTAAGATGGTGCAACTCAGCCTAATTCTTTCACTAATAAATTACATAGTTGTTGAACACGACTTCAATGTGACGTTTTTATCTTTCTAGCAAAAATTATATTCTTCTTTTACGTCTGGTTGCCGAGCAGTTAGAATTTCGTCCAATGACCCCAAGCTACCCTTGTTGCTGTCGCGCTCGTACGCTCACTGCGGGCGCCCGTCGCACAGTCGCGACAGCAATATAAATACACGCGAGCGATAAGGATAGGTAGCTTGGGATCATTGGACGAAATTCTATCTGCTCGGCGACCGGAATTTAGCTGCGTGTGTCTTTTTATTATCAACTAGCAAGTTGGTTAATTATTATTGTTTTGTTTGTTATTAATTTTTTTCTCCATCATGTCTGATGATAACCTCAGGAGTACACGTTCAAATAAATAATTTTGTAAATGTACTGATGTCCTCAAAATAAACTCAAATCCAATCATTTATTTGTAGAAACATAGGTGAAGATGTAGAATTCAGGTGGTACATAGTGAGTAGAGCTCGTATGTTTGGCCTATGAATGGCGTAAAAATGAGTCTCATATAAAGTTACAAACAAAACTAGTTACACAACATAATAATAAAATCAATGTCAACGCAAAACCAACCTTAAGCTCATCTAGGTAAGGTATGAAGCAGCGTGCGGGCCGATGCGCTCCTCTACCGAGCCAGGCGTCCGCCGTGGATCCTTCTTATGAGACCGCAGTCAAGGGAATACCGACCTTAAGCTCATCGAGGTAAGGTATGAAGCAGCGTGCCCTAGCAATGCGCCCGCTAGTAAGTAGACCGTAGAACCTTCCTGTATGGTACCGCATGTCAAAGGAATACCAACCTTAAGCTCATCAAGATAAGGTATGAAGCAGCGTGCCCTAGCACCCGTCTGCTATAGACCCATCCTGAATGGGACCGCAGTCAAAGGAATACCGACCTTAAGCTCATCTAAAGCCTGGTCTGTGAGCAGGTAGAATTTTGTCCAATGACCCCAAGCTACCCATCCTTATCGCTCGCGCGTAATTATGTTGCTGTCGCGACTGTGCGACGCGCGCCCGCAGTGAGTGTGCGAGCGCGACAGCAGACCAGACTATAGGTAAGGTATGAAGCAGCGTGCCCTAGAAAGGCGTCCGCTAGTAAGTAGATTAGTAGACCGAAGACCCATCCTGAAAGGGACCGCTGTCAAAGGAATACCAACCTTAAGCTCATCAAGATAAGGTATGAAGCAGCGTGCCGGTCGATGCGCTCCTCTCCCGAGCCAGGCGTCCGCCGTGGATCCTTCTTCGCCCGTCGAAGCCGGGGCTGGGATGAGACCGCGACGCACCATCTGGAAAATAAATAAACTATGGATTTTAAGGGTTCAGTAACTCTTATGAAACCCTAATGGATTAGTACGTTATCGTTAAAACTCTAACGCCCGTTTTCACCACCAATCCCTAATTTTTAAGTGATTTGGGATTGATGGTGAAAACGGGCATTAGTTTATTCTTCAGTTAAAAGTTAACGGATGATTGAAAAATCTGCCCTAAAACGTATCTACTTTTACGTTAAGATTCGATGGAACTGACATGTTCTCGGACAAAGGCCCCTAAATTAAAACAGATTAAAAAGGGTATTTCACTTTCACTTCTTTACCTGCGTGAATTAACTCCAGCACAGCGCCATCTATTACCAGGTTTAGGAACTTATAAACATTCGTAGTCTCTGTCTCTGCATGGGTGACTACAGTATCTTTTTTTTTATGCAAGACAAGGCAGGTATTTGGCCGCAATCGCACCTGGTGTTAAATGAGTTGCAGTCTAGGATCTACTCACCACTTGGCACCCCTGACAAGCAAGATCTTGTTTTGTCTTGGTGCCAACTGATTTAGACTTCGACTATAATAAAGAGGTATAAATGCTTCGTTGTTTTTGGACTAAATCATATAGACTAAGAGCTAGCGAACGCCAGACCTACGTCATTTTATAAAAGCTGAAAGTTTGTCAGCATATGCTCCCAATACAGGAAATAATGTTGGTGAATTATGAAGTTTGGGTTACAACTGACAAACTTTCAGCTTTTATAAAATGACGTAGGTCTGGCGTTCACTAGCTCTTAGTCTAATAAGGTTGAACCGCTGCGTCTTCGTCTGCTGAACCATTCTGGACCCTAACACGCGGCAACAAGGCTCACACCTGCTGTAGCGGCTCGTGGTCTAGCTTACTAGTGGCAGCAGTTCAGCCATCGCTTCCCTGAGCGCCGCGTCCGAACCATTCTGGACCCTAACACGCGGCAACAAGGCTCACACCTGCTGTAGCGGCTCGTGGTCTAGCTTACTAGTGGCAGCAGTTCAGCCATCGCTTCCCTGAGCGCCGCGTCCGAACCATTCTGGACCCTAACACGCGGCAACAAGGCTCACACCTGCTGTAGCGGCTCGTGGTCCGGCGGCAGGTGGTCCAGGCGCACCAGTGGCAGCAGTTCAGCCATCGCTTCCCTGAGCGCCGCGTCGGCGGGCCGTCGTCGCGCGCCGCGTCGCGCCGCAGCGTGCCCTGTGTGCCATACCACGTTCGGCTCTGAAAGGTAAGCGAATTGAGTGTTAATTAACTAGGCGTTGCAACTTGAAGGTTATGCATTGATTTTTAGTAACTTGAAAAAATTCAGTTCGCGCTATGAAGAAATAAACGACCGAAACGAAAGACCGCGACCGCTACTTGACTTGACTTGACTTTAGACAATCTATAAGTGTCGCGAGCGAGACAAAGAGGGGAGACAGAGAACTAAGTCAATCGCAGTCTCCCGCCTCTTGAACCCTTGCCTCTCTGTCGCGAAGAGAACCGCCACCTTTAAGTGGGAATCGAAGTCATGTACTGGACCTTCATTTTAACATTGCAAATAACGGCATACTCTCCAGTTTAATCCACAAAACATTCATAAGCGACTTGTAACGTAAACGCGCGTATTCTTCAACAATTGTAAAAAAAAAAATTCATCATGGAAATAAGAAAAAATACGCGTGTTGTGCGCTAGATGGCGACACAGTAGCTACTTGTAGCTGTCAGCCCTATCGCAACGGCACAGTACCGATCACAGGCGTATGTAAACGAAACGATACTGGACTCTGAGACAAGCTAAATTACACCATATTGTTGACATTGAGTAGAAATTTCTTTAAATACCTTCGCGAAGAAAACTTTCTGTACCATCGGCAACAGTGTTAACTATCCATTGCCTGTCATGTCGTCTCGTTCTATCGCAAAGAATAACCATTTGATGAGAGCGAGAGCAAAAACGGAAGTGGATAGTTAACCGTTAGTGTGGCCGTGTGTACGTAATACATTTTATTATTCTGTGATATTATTGTAACTCACCTCGCTGCTGTTTCGCGTGTTGCGTCTGCTCGGCCCAGCGCCATAATGCACGCAGCGCCTGCGCCTCGCTCGCCTGTACATAGACAAATAACTGTTTACGTTGCGTTGTTATTGTGTTTTGAACCTTGTTGGCATGGTTTAAGGTTCAATATGGATGGATGTTTTTATTGTACTGGTCAAAAGGTTGAATGAACAGACTAGGGCTATTATTTCAATGTATTTTATCTATAGATACATACAAGATACATTCTAAAAACCATATAGTGAAGCTTTCGCAAGGAGAATCTTACATTTACCCTCTTACTAATAAAACTTACACGCTATTTGAACAGTGTTTTAAAGTGACGTTTTGTATAGAAATGACATTTTAAAACAGTGAATAACTTGTTACTATAGTTCCAAAATACTGAACTGTCCTATCGATGACATTGACAGCGGGGCGCCACCGTCAATACCGAATCGCTGGTTCCGATTTTTGCCATGTTGGAAACCATTAAGTTGAACGATGGTAGCGCCCCCCTGTCATTGAGTTTGGCGGGACAGTTCAGCGTGGGTCATCTATACCAATTCATTCGCCAATTAATTCAAGCCGACCTCTCAAGTGCTTGATCATTTTTGGCAACATTTAGTTTAAGCAATGGCTTAATATTACTAGCACCACATGTTCAAACCGACCCCTTAATGGCTTGATCATTAGTGTCACCACTTAAATTCAACATCCTGAAACTCCAATTAATTCAAGCAGACACTTTATGGGGTCTAAGACCATTAATTTCTTCTCACCTGCAGGAAGGGCGAGCCGAGAGCATCAACTAACGCAGCGCGTGGAAGTCTAGCTGCCGCCGCGTGCGCCATTAACGTCGGAAACTCGTCGCGGAGGTAGCGCATCGCTTGTCTGGAAATATACAAAGAATTATTATATTTTTGTTCGTTGTAAGCCACAGGAAAGGCAATGAAAAGAAAAGAAACAGCTATAGTCTGGTCTGTGAGCACGTGAAATTTTGTTCAATGACCCCAAGCTACCCATCCTTATCGCTTGCGCGTAATTATATTGCTGTCGCGATTGTGCGACGGGCGACAGCAACATAATTACACGCGAGCGATAAGGATGGGTGTAGCTTGGGGTCATTGGACAAAATTCTACGTGCTCACAGACCAGACTATATTATCGATAGCTTCAAGCTGCGACTGCATAGAAAATTTACGGAAATTTCATTGCGCGGTCAAGAAGTCGCCAGGTATACACTGACTGCTCCAGTTGACGACTGTTCTTTTGGGATCACATGATGATGTAGCCTATTAGGAACTTATTTGTTCAACTGGTGTTATTAACCGCCGAGAGCGTCCTCTGTGCTCCGCAGCACCTTTACCTGTGTACCCAGCACTCATGTAACTTGTACCTGTGTACCCACCACTCGGGTTGTTTGTACCTGTGCACCCAGCGCTCGGGTTGTTTGTACCTGTGCACCCAGCGCTCGGGTTGTTTGTACCTGTGCACCCAGCGCTCGGGTTGTTTGTACCTGTGCACCCAGCGCTCGGGTTGTTTGTACCTGTGCACCCAGCGCTCGGGTTGTTTGTACCTGTGCATCCAGCTCTCTGGTGACGTGTACCTATGTACCCAGCTCTCTGGTGACGTGTACATATGTACCCAGCGCTCGGGTTACGTGTACCTGTGTACCCAGCACCTTGGTGACGTGTACCTATATACCCAGCACTCTGGTGACGTGTACCTATGTACCCAGCGCTCGGGTGACGTGTACCTATGTACCCAGCGCTCTGGTAATGTGTACCTGTGTACCCAACCCCCGAGTTATTTGTACCTGTGCACCCAGCGCGAGGCGTCCTCTGTGCCCGCAGCACACTCGGGTGAAAGCTGTATTTGATTGAAAAAGACGCTGACAAAGGTGACTGATGCCCATTTTCACCATCAATCCCTAATTTTTAAGTGACCCCTATGTAAACAAAATTCCTGTTATTTGTTACTATAGGGGTCACTTAAAAATTAGGGATTGATGGTGAAAACGGGCATGAGTGTCTTTCACCACTTCTTCTCAGCACCGGCCCATATAATAAATAAATATCCTTGGACATTTTACACTGAGCTTCTAGTCCCAAACTAAGCAAAGCTTGTACTATGGGTACTAGACAACGGATATAAACATACTTAAATACTTTTTTTTTGTAAATACATATATATTATACATAGAAAACACCCAGTCCAATACAAACAAATATGTTCATGCACACAAATGTTTGTACTGTGCGGGAATCGAACCCGCAACCTCCGGAATAGAAGTTCGTTTCGAACCACTACACCAAACGGCCGACTAAATATATATGTTGTCCCTAAAACGAAACTTCATTCGATTTGATTTGTACCTGTGCACCCAGCGCGAGGCGTGCGCGGCCCAGCGCAGCACGTGCGGCAGCGTGTCGGCGCTGAGAGCCTCCACGATGGCATCCTCTCCTGTGTAGCTCGGGTGACTGTACCTATGTACCCAGCGCTCATGTAACTTGTACCTGTGTACCCGGCGCTTGGATGACATGTACCTATGTACCCAGCACTCCTGGTGACGTGTACCTGTGTACCCGGCGCTCGGGTTGTTTGTACCTGTGCACCTAGCGCTCGGGTGGTCTGTACCTATGTACCCACCACTTGGGTTGTTTGTACCTGTGCACACAGCGCTCTTGTGACGTGTACCTATGTACCCAGCGCTCGGGTGACTGTACCTATGTACCCAGCGCTCTGGTGACGTGTACCTATGTACCCAGCGCTCGGGTTACGTGTACCTGTGTACCCAGCACCTTGGTGACGTGTACCTATGTACCCACCGCTTGGGTTGTTTGTACCTATGTACCCACCACCCGGGTTGTGTGTACCTGTGCACCCAGCGCGAGGCGTGCGCGTGCGCGGCCCAGCGCAGCACGTGCGGCAGCGTGTCGGCGCTCAAGGCTTCTACAATGGCGTCCTCGCAGCCCTGCACTACGATCGGCATCTCCAGAAACCTGAAAACACACGGTAAATTGCAACAGAACTTGAAAAAATCGAACTGCCTAAGGCGAGAATTGAACCCACGACCTTTCGCTTTTCGGACGAATGTTCTTCTATAGGACACTGGATGAACCAGTCGAAATTTTCAAGTGCAATACGCTGTTGCGGCCGCGTTTGTATAGTTTGAGAAACGATTAAATGCTAAGAAAAACAACAGTGCTCCAGTCTACACTTAATAATTATTCATCTCCCAGACCCTGACAACACAGCGAATAATAATGAAGCAAAGTTTCAGTGAAGTCTGCACTTTAGTTTTTTAAACTTTCGCGTTGCATAATGAGGGCTATCGTTTTAGCGCTCACCAGTTAGCGCCACTGTAGAGTAAGGTCCTGTCACTTGCTAGTAGCGAAAACAGTGGCACCAACTGGTGAGCGCGAAAGTGGTAGGAGGACTATCGCATTTGCACTCATCAAGATGGCGCCACTGTAGAGTAAGGTCCTGTCAATCGCCAGGGGTGCCAACTGTTAAGTATAAAAACGATAGCCCTCATTGAATTAATTTAAATAGGTTTTAACGCGATCAACACAAGTTGAACATTTGTATCTGTATATGCTCGCCCGTTGATGTAGTCATGTCATGTAAACGTAGTAATGTGTTAAGTTTGTAATATGGAGTCAAATAGGATTCTCACCTCGCGATCTCGTAGAGTTGAAATGCATCGTCTAGAGTCGCGGTTGATGTCGCGCGACCTCTGCTGCCGGTCCATGCCTGGAACACATGGATTATGACGTTCATAAGTGCTAAATATTGGTATAAATTGAATAAATAATTTCATTTTCTGATAATGCTGAAGTATATCTAGTTTACTGTTATGTTTAGATACTCACCGTCCCGCCGCTGCCGGTGCTATTGGTAGACGATGGTGAAGACGAGTTGCGGCCGATCAGGCTTAGGTCCACCTGTAACAGGCATATTCGTATGGCGAAAACGACACATATTGTACAATAAGTAACATGGAAAGAAGAGCATATTAAGATTTTTTTGTCACTTGTAATTTCGGTATCAATCTGGTTATTGATTACCAGAGAGTGGGGAGTTAAGGTTTAATCTTCATTTTGCTTTCGGTTAATTAATTACAGAGAGTTGTGTATTGTCTAAATTACCACGAATCAGTGACAAACCGTTCTATTGGTTCAAGTGCTTCGTTTTTGACGCGAGTGCTTTCCGGGCTAATAACACAAGTCTTCCTAGAATTATTGAAAAAAGTTGTCTCCTGGCTATTAGTTCCAGTTTTCTCCTGTCCATTATCCCCCACCTGGTCGGTGTAGGCGGCCCGCAGGAGGGCTCGCGCGAAGCGTCGCGGCAGCACCTGCTCGTCCACGCACACCAGTCTCCCCCGCTATAGTCCCAGTCTCCCCGCTATAGTCCCAGTCTCCCCCGCTACAGTCCCAGTCTCCCCGCTATAGTCCCAGTNCCCACCTGGTCGGTGTAGGCGGCCCGCAGGAGGGCTCGCGCGAAGCGTCGCGGCAGCACCTGCTCGTCCACGCACACCAGTCTCCCCCGCTATAGTCCCAGTCTCCCCCGCTATAGTCCCAGTCTCCCCTGCTATAGTCCCAGTCTCCCTGCTATAGTCCCAGTCTCCCCCGTTATAGTCCCAGTCTCGCCTGCTGTAGTCCCAGTCTCCCCCGCTATAAAGTCTGTTCGCCGAGAGTTGATAAAAAAAATTAAATATCAGAGGTTCTAAACTCATTATAAATTGCGGCCCGCTAATTATTTTTGTCGATATAATGAAAAAGTTGGTAGATTATTTGGCCTGGACTTTTTTTTCTGGCCTGGATTCTCGGCTCGGTTACAATTTAATTTTGGACTACCATTTATAAGAATGTTCTAAAAATACCAATTATCTACCAAAATCTACTAAACGATTTCGCACTATCGTTCTCTTTGCCTCAAATCTACCAAAAAAGTAGAAATTTACTAAAAGTAGTCACGCTGTGGCCGCCGCCGCCCGCCGGCCGGGGCGCTTGACGACAGCTGCGTGGCTCGTACCATGGTACTCAGTGCGCGTTGTGACAAACGACGCCCGCCATACAGAATGCGATAATTAAGCGACAGTCGCTATTGCAAGACATTTCATAATGTTTATCAACTCTCGGCGAACAGACTATAGTCCCAGTCTCCCCGCTATAGTCCCCGTCTGCCCACCTGGTCGGTGTAGGCGGCCCGCAGCAGGGCCCGCGCGAAGCGTCGCGGTAGCACCTGCTCGTCCACGCACACCGGGCCCACGGCGCCGCCCGCCGCGCGACGGGACATCACGCTCCTGGTACAGGGGACACAAATAAGGCACAGGGTACAAACATTAGTCATCGGCGACAATTAAAGGGGTAAGTTGACAAAGGTCTCAACTGACAAAATAAGTTATGAGTGTTTGAAAATGTTAATCTGCTCATACCACATTTGAATCCTGAAATGTATGAATGCTTGTCAGATAACACCTTTGTTAAGGTTTGACACGTAACAAAATCGCGTGTTTTGAGCTCATTAGTCGATTTTATCATCACTTGAAACCTATGTTCATGCAAAAAAGTCGATTCTTCAGTTTTGTCAGATAACACCTTAGTCCACTCACCCCTTCAATTTTGAAGCAGGCTTATAGGCTACACGCTTTCCACCCGCGGCTTCGCTCGCGTGGAATTTTGTCTGTCACAGAAAAACCTTACCGCGCGCGTCTCTGTTTCAAAAATCGGAACAAATACTATGCTATATAACCTTTCCCGGGACTCAAACAATCTTTATGCCAAATGGCAATGCCAGATTTTGTATGGAAAGTGGCGTCTTTTTTTTTTCGCGCGGCCATCGACCAAATTTTGTTTCTTGATTACAAAATAGTGTAATAAACCAAACTTACTATGGCATGTATACCTCTAAACTCAGTCTGAACTGAGTTACGAGCATTAGAAGTTTGATGATTTTCATACTAGATTTGCTTTTTGTGTGCAAGTTTTGTAAGAAATTGCAACAAAATATTGCGCTATTTTTTATTGCGCTGATTCTGCTCCATACTGATGTCTGGAGCCTTTAATGGATGGTATTGTTTGTTTACACATACAATCTCACTATTTTGTTGCAATTTCTTACAAAACTTTGCGCGCAAAAAGCAAATCTAGTATGAAAATCATCAAACTTCTAATGCTCGTAACTCAGTTCAGACTGAGTTTAGAGGTATACATGTCATAGTAAGTTTGGTTTATTACACTATTTTGTAATCAAAAAACTAAGTTTGGTCGATGGCCGCGCGAAAAAAAAAAGACGCCAATTTCCGGCATTGTCTTTTCATCAAAATCACTTCAGTGGTTTAGGCGTGAAAGCGTGAGAGACAGACAGAGTTACTTTCGCATTTATAATATTAGTATAGATAGATTGTCACATCACGCTCCAGCCACCCATTAGCATTACAATAGTATATGGCTAGTGTTTGTTTTCATGAGTGCAGACACCCTTCGAAGTACTTTGAACAATAAAAATTTAATGTACAAAGGCGTTCAAATTCAATCTTGAAACTCAGTTACCCAAAGTGACTGGTAGTAAGTCATAGTTTACCTAAATATTATTTGCATGATTGTATAACTTGTTGGCGCGTTTGATTTTCTGTAAGCAGCCTTCTAAAATAAATAAACAGCTGTGTCTACACATTGTCATCCTGCTCTTGAGTGAGCAGGATGACAAGCTTGTTTTGCGATGCGATGCGATGCGATGCGCCCGGTGTAGATACAGATAATGAAATAAGTAGTTGTGTACCTGAAGTAGCGCGACCGTGCGGCTAGTACGAGACGGTGCGCCGGCAGCTCGTATGAACCCCACGACAGCCGGCAGTCAGACATCTCGCCTGCAAATCATATGGTAAAGTTATATTCACAGTTGGAAAATATTCGAGGTGGGGCCGGGAAGGGTAGGCTCAAGGCAAAAGGTGTAGGATACAGACAGAGTAAAGGATTTTTGGGGACCCAAAGTGCGAAGTGGCACGCGGCTCAGGGTACAGTGTACCCGATTTAGGGTACATGACACCCAACTTAGGGTACAGGGCACACAGCTAGAGATCAAATCAATACATTTATTTCTTAGAAAGTGGCAACAATATATTAAATATCAGAGAGAGATGTTACAGACAAACACTACTTTTGACTACAAAAAATCGTCATAAGTTGTTTTAACCGATGCCAAAACCAGGTACAGATAAACCGAATTAGAGCAAGTAGCCAGCCCACAGTGGCACAGCTTGATAAGACGAGGTCGTGACGTGGCCGTATCTTCAACTCACCAGACTCCAGCAAATATCGCATATCAGTGTCAGAGCGTCCGGCGACTGTCCAAATAGGACCCGCAGCCAAAGACAAAGCAAAGGGATTGTGGTCACGTCGAGAAGTCCACGTCGATTATAGAGGCGTATACAGCTCTTTGCTCGATCTACCACCATCTCTCCCTGTTAGGAGATAGTTTGGTGTATCGTGTACTCACCAGACTCCAGCAGGTATCGCATATCCGTGTGCAGCGCGTCCGGCGACTGTCCAAATAGATCCCGCAGCTAAAGACAAAGCAAAAGGGTCTTGGTCTTCACATGATCTCCGTTAGCAGACAGTCTGGTGTATCGTCCACTCACCAGACTCGCAACAAATAACGCATGCCAGTGTGCAGCGCGTCCGGCGACTGTCCAAATAGACCCCGCAGCTAAAGACAAAGCAAAAGGGTCTTGGTCTTCGCATGATCTCCGTTAGCAGATAGTCTAGTCTATCGTGTACTCACCAGACTCCAACAAATAACGCATGTCAGTATGCAGCGCGTCCGGCGACTGTCCTAAGAGGACCCGCAGTAAAGACAAAGCAAAGGGATTGTGGTCACGTCGAGAGGTCCACGTCAATTTTAGAGGCGGATACAGCTCTTAGCACGATCCTCCGCCATCTGTCCCTGTTGGTAGACTGCCTAGTGCAGTATAGACGCGGTACTCACCAGACTCCAACAAATATCGCATATCAGTGTGCAGTGCGTCCGGCGACTGTCCTTAAGGTAGCCTTTCGAACTAAGCGCGACAGACGCAGCGTCTTTAGCTTTAGTCTTGTGCCACCAACGCCGCGTCACTAAATCGCTTCGAAAGGCTACCATTAAGACCAAAGCTAAAGACGCTGCGACTGTGACGCTTAGTTTGAAAGGCTACCTTAAGAGGACCTGCAGCCAAAGCAACGGGGTCGTGGTCACTTCGAGACGTCCACGTCGATTATAAAGGCGTAAACAGCTCTTCGATCGATCTACCACCATCTCTCCCTGTTAGCAGATAGTTTGGTGTCACGATCCTCCGCCATCTGTCCCTGATGGTAGACTGCCTAGTGCAGTAATATGCGCGGTACTCACCAGACTCCAACAAATATCGCATATCCGTATGCAGGGCATCCGGCGACTGTCCCAAGAGCGCTCGCAATCGCGGGAGTCCCGCGCCCTCGCCGCGCCCGCAGCGGCAGAGGGAATTGCTGCGGCACGCTGGGGACAAAGCACGGTTCAAATTCAAATTCAATTCAAATTGAAATTGTTTATTGTGAAATCACAGGTAAATACATAAGTCAGGTCATAAAATGTTTGTAATAGATCAGCTGTGTTCCGCCGCATGGGCATACAATAATTGAAAGATACAGAATACGGTTGGTTAAATAGTTGGTAGTTCTGGATTTGATTAAGAAGAAAGAAAGAAAGAATTACATACATTTATTGCCATGGACATCACAAAAGACAAAAGAGGTAAATAAAAAAAGCAAACAAGACAGAGGTGACTCATAAAACATACAATGAAAGAGAAAGTAAACTGAGCAGTGCCACCCTGTCGCACAGCGATGCCCATCGCAATGGGACCCCACTCAGCATATGCCGCGGCCCCCGGTGAGAGAGGCCACGACGCTGGTTTTCAGAGATGGCGCTGTTCAGTTTTATGTCACGGTATCATTTGTTCTTTCTCTATTTTTATGTTGTAGTTCAGAAGTTTTCATTGTTTCAGTCGTTAACTCGTCGCATGAGACCGCAGTAATAATTGATTTCTATTGTGTCTCGATTTGCTGGTACAGTCAGCCTCAAATGGTTCATGATACTCAGGAGTAGCCAATAAGTTCGCAACATGTCATCGTTACGATTTTAATAAGGTTGTGATATCAATGTTTTGGATACTTTGTGTGTCAAGAACTATTTGACGCTGACTAGATAAAAAGTTAAATAAATGAGTTGTTTTGTTAACAGTTTTCCTAAGCAGAAAAATAGTTATATTTTAAAACTCACAATAAGCTCCATCTCCACTGATGATATCCAAATCACCGTCAGCATTCGTACTGCACTCCCATTCTGAAAAATAAATAAAATTTTATGCCTATTCGTTCTTTGAATAGTACTGTTATTGAACAGACAGCTTAAACTTGAGTAAATCGTTTCGGTGCAAGTACAACGACACGATCGACAAAGGGCGACGAAATTAGGTAAGGACACAGGCAGACCTGGAGGGTACAAGGTATGGTACACAAAGCTATGGGTACATTACTCATGGTGGATAAAAGATATAGGACACAGAACTTAGGGTACAGAGCACAGGGTAAAAGGTGTTGGACACAGAGTTTAGGGTAAAAGGACAAGGACATAGAATATGAGAATGTCGGGCAGGAGGGACCAATGTGCGGCTCAGTGTATCGGGAAAAATATCCAGAGTAAAAGGGACAAAACGGCAGCTCGGCGAGTGACAGCGGCACGGCACAGGTAAAGGCGTCGAGCGGCATAGAGATACCTAAGGTTATACAGGTCCTAATCGCCTCACTGTTGTGCATAGGTATTTTTATTTTTTTTATTTATTTATTTACACTTTTGCACATACATATGTACAGTGGCGGACTTAATGCCAGGTGGCATTATCTGCCAGTCAACCACAGGTCGACAGGTATATAGCACAGGTCCCTCAGACTCCATATTGTACACAGGTACATAGCACAGCACCATCTACTTACTTTTGTGCTGCGTAACAGCGCAGGTTCCGACACTCCTTGTTATTTATGAATAGAACATTAGTATTAAATGCTGCGGTGCAAGCAAGGTACAGACAATGACCGCCTTACTGTCGAGCACAGGTACACAGCACAGCACCCCCTACTCACTATTATGCAGCAGTGTTATTTATTTTATTTATTTAGGAAGAGAACAGTAGTACCCATTATACTGCATGCAAGCAAGGTACAGACAATGACCGTCTTAGGCCCAGTTTTTTGATTCATGGTTAAAATAACAAATTCTTAAATTTTGCTACTAATGTTTAAATATTAACAAAATGTTAACTAATAGTTAAAAAATGTACTAAAAGTCAAGCTAACCATTGTTCGAAAAACATTTTTTTCTGATATTTAACCACTTGTCATTCGATATCTGTCAAATTTGACCATTGGTTATTTTAACTACGAATCAAAAAACCGGGCCTTAGGCTGGGTTGCACCATCTTACTTTAACTTTGACAAACGTCAATAATCTGTCAAACTCCATACAAAAAACACCTGTTATCGTTATAGTTACGATCAACATTTGGTGGTGCAACTCAGCCTTACTGTCGTGCACAGGTACACAGCACAGGTACTCACTGTTGTGCTGCGGCGCGGCGCAGGTGCAGGCGTAGAGCGCGCACACGGCGGCGGCCAGCTCGGCGCGCGACAGCCCCGCGCACGCGCCGTCCAAAGGCACGCGCACCACCGACCTGCGGACACATGACGTCTGTTATGTCTCCTGGACTGGGTGTTTTCTATGTATAATATGTATGTATTTAAAAAAAAAGTATTAGAAAGAAAGAAACATTTATTGCCATGGACATCACACAAGACAAAAGGTGTAAATAATAGAAAAAAAAAGTAAATAAGACATAAAACATACAATAAAAGTGAAAGTAAACTGAGCAGTGCCACCCTGACGCACAGCGATGCCCATCGCAATGGGACCTCACTCAGCATATGCCGTGGCCCCCTGCCCGGTGAGGGAGGCCACGACGCTGGTTTTCAGTGTGCCCCATGCCGAGTGGGAGTCACGGACACTAACCTATACTGCATAAAATATACATACATAAATAATAATAATAATAGTGCGCGTATAAATTTTAAGTGTAAGTACAGTATAATTATATAAAGAAAAGATGTAATAAGATATTATAAATAAAACGATAATATTTGAAAAACAAAACTGTGTGGGTGTACATAATAAATAAATTTTAATGTAATAAAGTGCATTTGTGTATACAGTGATTGTGTGTGTCTCGACGACCGCAAAACCGTCACGTGCGATCGAACCATTTTGCGTGGTTGTGGCTATTCATAGCATCAGGTAGGTAGGTAAATTAAAGTATGTTTATATCCGTTGTCTAGTACCCATAGTACAAGCTTTGCTTAGTTTGGGACTTGAAGCGCAGTGTAAAATGTACAAGGATGTATTTATTATTTACTAACTTTCCGCCCGCGGCTACGCGCGCCTGGATTACATTATCTACATATTTTACGGAACCCTATTTTTTTCCAAAATAAAATTTAGCCTATGATACTTGTGGGTAATGTAGCTTCCGAATGGTAAAAAAAATTTAAAAACGGTCCAGTAGTTTTTGAGCCTATTCATTACAAACAAACAAAGAAAGTTTTCCTCTTTATAATATTAGTGTAGATTTTGTTTGTTACTACATCTCATTAGGGGCGTCCACACCGGGCGCGTGGGCTTACGAGACACGCTTGTCGTCCTGCTCACTTTGTTCTTGAGAAAGCAGGATGTCGCAAGTCCGTTGGCCAGACGGGTTGGGGAAGAGTTAGCTGTGTGATTCCAGCAGACTAGAATAGGAAATACTATGACCTTATAACAAAAAAAAAAAACCACTAAAACACTTGTTTAAAATGACATTTGCATACCACATTTCAATTTAAACAAGTGTTCAAATGTACTTCTTTTAAATTGTACCATTATTCCATTTTGCCAAGGGGCTCTCATGTAGATAGGGGATGATAAAATCGAAAGGAGTATAGACTCACGGCTTTTGTGTAACATCAAGACACTAACATGGGGTAGCGGGGTACACGACGGGGGTAATGGGGTACACGACGGGGCTACTGGGGTACAACGGGGGTACAACGAGGGCGGGTACACAACGGGGGTAGATGGGTACACAGCGGGGGTACACTCACGGTGGATACCGCTGCAGCAGCTCGCGGAAGTAGGTACAACGCGCGGCCAGCACGGCGCGGTCACTAACATGGGGTACAGCGAGGGTACACTACGGGGGTACAACGGGGGTACTCACGGCGGGTACCGCTGCAGCAGCTCGCGGAAGTAGGTGCAGCGCGCGGCCAGCACGGCGCGGTCACTAACATGGGGTGGGGTGACGGGGGTAGATGGGTACACATCGGGGCTAGTGGGGTACACGACGGTACAGCGAGGGTACACTACGGGGCTAGGGTACAGCGAGGGTACACAATGGGGGTAGTAGGGTACACAACGGGGGTAGGGGGGTACACGACGGGGGTACAGCGAGGGTACAATGACGACAATGACTGTAACACAGGTACATACACCTAGCACAGGAGTCAGGGGTTTCGCAATTTTATACTGTACTTGTTTTTATGTCAATAAAGTTATTATTATTATTATAATGAGGGTAAACTCACGGTGGATACCGCTGCAGCAGCTCGCGGAAGTAGGTGCAGCGAGCGGCGAGCACGGCGCGGTGCGCGCGCACCGACCAGCCCGCACCGACCAGTTCCACGTCGCACCACCACCTTAAAATTATAAAATAATTTCAAATTAATTAATAATAATCACACACTAGCTTTGCTGGTGAGATAAGCTGAGCTGTAACTATTTTAATACCTTGTTGTATTACCTTGTCTCGGTGAACGATCTTTTTATCTTTAAATGTCGGCGTTTGTCGGAAAACAGCGCCAGCCAGAATAAAAAAAAATTGCGTTCTTTTAGCGGTAAGGCGGAACATCCTACACAAGTAAGTGTTCTTATACACGAGCGGCTCATAGCCGACGGCAGTGGCAACGGCAGCCGTCGCCACGTCGACGACTGTCGCCGACTTGTCGACAGATGCCGCCAAAAGGTGGCGACAGCTGCCGTTACCACGCCGTCGGCTATGAGTTCTATGTGAACAGTGACGAAAGAATAGGCATCCTCTGGGCAAGCTCGCTTCACTATTGATCGCATCTACACTTCTCTAGTAAGATTTACTTACGCTCGCAGTATAGTAGTAGGCCCAATATTATCCACCTCTTTAATAACTTAGCTGCGACTAGTCCTAGTGGTTTCATCGTCATCTTTCTGAGGTCACCGGTCTTCATTTGATATCTTGCAATATGTGATTGCAAAAAAACTAATTTATCATTACCACTCAATCTACATAATATTCTCACTCAGTGTCTTATTCAATTTTACGGACGCGTTGAATGATTGCGTTAAGAATAAGCCCTTACCGTTCGCTATAAGCTCTGTGCAGGTCTGCGTGCAATGCCGCGGCGGGCTCACGCGCCAACTCGGCCTGCGTGACGAGGTCTCAACGCGGCGCCCGTCTCTAAGAACACAAGACTGAGCGACGCAAAAGCTAAGTGAGTCCTTCCCTCTTCCTTCATTTCTTGGTACCTCCCTTCTCCCTATTATGTCTGGTTTTAGTCACGCTAACGCACGCTGACCGTCAGCGCTGACAGCCGAAATGTATGAAGCGTCGGCGCCGAGCGATCAGCGTCACTCAGAACGTTCCCTTCAATTACATACGACAATCAGCGAGCGGTCAGCGCGATTCGAAAACCCGCCTATCTCTTTACACGCGCGCGTTGAGTGACTGCGTTAAGAATAAACCCTTACCGTTCGCTATAAGCTCTGTGCAGGTCTGCGTGCAATGCCGCAGCGGGCTCGCGGGCTAACTCGGCCTGCGTGACGAAGTCTCTCAGCGCGGCACCCGCTTCTAAGTACACAAGACAGCGACGCAAAAGCTAAGTGAGTCCTTCCCTCTTCCTTAATTTCTTGGTACCTCCCTTCTTCCTATTATGGCTGGTTTTAGAGTCACGCTGCCCGTCAGCGCTGACAGCCGAAATGTATGAAGCGTCGGCGCCGAACGATCGGCGTCACTCAGGAACGTTCCTTTCAATTACATACGACAATCAGCGAGCGGTCAGCGCGATTCGAAAACCCGCCTATCTCTTTACACGTGCGCGTTGAGTGACTGCGTTAAGAATACGCCCTTACCGTTCGCTATAAGCTCTGTGCAGGTCCGCGTGCAATGCCGCGGCGGGCTCGCGCGCCAACTCGGCCTGCGTGACGAGGTCTCTTAACGCGGCGCCTGCCTCCAAATCGGCACACAACAGGAACACCTCCGCCAGCCGCCACGAGCCGACCACCGTGCGGATGAAGCGGGCGTGTTCGCATCCTGAACGACAACATAAGTACAGTTGAGTCAAATAGTTCGTAAATAATACCAACTAGTTTTACTAAAGCCCGGTCTGTGAGCACGTAGAATTTTGTCCAATGACCTCAATCTACCCATCCTTATCGCTCGCGCGTAATTACATTGCTATCGCGGCTGTGCGACGGGCGCCCGCAGTGAGTGTGCGAGTGCGACAGCAACATAATTACAGGAGGCTTTACCTATCAATTTCTTAAAATGTAATTTGACCAATCCTGTATCTTTCCATTATTGTATGCCCATGCGGCGGAACACAGCTGATTTATTACACAAATTTTATGACTGACTTATTTACATGTGATTTCACAATAAACAAACACAATTTGAATTTGAAATAAATAAGTGTAGTAACACCCAAAGTGGCCCACTAAAAGGGTCGAAAGACGCAGTGTGGGCAGGCCCCCACTAGAAGGACCGACGATTTGGTGAAGGTCGCCGAAAGTACCTGGATGCGGGAAGTACAGGGCCGGTGATTATGGAAATCCTTGAGGGATACCTTTGTCCACCAGACGTCATTTGGCTGAAACGAACGAACCCACAAAAAGCTAAAAAGTTGACAACACAATCTTATTCCAATCGTAACAAAGACGTGTTGCGAACTACTTTTTGGCTACAGGTGTCACGAACTATTCGATGCTGACTAAAAATAGTCAAATGTGCGAAAATAAATAAAGGAGTCTATCAAGCAATCCCATCGTTTTTATTTTGATTTCCCTATAATAAAAATCCGTCTGCTCGGTTGCCTCCTATCACAAGAACTTAAATCAGAATAGGTAGTGTGTACGGCACAGGGTTTAGGGTACAGATAATTAGGTCTAGGGTACAGTACGGCCAGCACGAAAAACTTTCGAGTTTGAATCGCTGTGACTACATTTTAGCTACGGGTGTCACAAACTATTCGATGCTGACTAACAATAGTCGAGTGTGCGAAAATAAATATAGAAGTCTATCAAGCAAGCCCATCGTTTTTATTTTGATTGTCCTATAATAAATAAATGGCAAAAAACTTAAACCAGAATAGGTAGTGTGTACTCAATATTTTATTGCATCCATTATGTACTTAAAATTTAGAACATTATGGGCCCTGTAGGGCACGGCAATTAGAAGAGAGGAGGACCATCCGAAAAATGTATTAGAAGTTAGAGCCTAATAATTTAGATACTCACTAAAGTACGGCACAGGGTTTAGGGTACAGATAATCAGGTCTAGGGTACAGATCAGGAAAGTGAACACACCTCTGTCAGGACGGGCGTCGCGAGGGCGTCGAGCGGCGGCGGCGATCCGGCGGCGCAGTGTGCCCAGACCAGCACCGCCGGCTTTTTTCTTCCTCTCCCTGTGGATTGACACAAGTGTTTTCAAATAAAAGCTAAAAATAAACTCATGGTTCACACGGAAGTGCACGAGTACCTAGAAATAAAAATCCCTACAGTCAAGGGGGAAATAGAAAGTTCCTTTGTATCCTACAAGCAACGTCTTGAGCGACATAGCAACCATCTGGCTACACAGCTCCTGAATACAAATAACTGCCTGTTTTGGCAAAACAATGCGATTGGCTTCCATATAAAACTTCCCAGGAGAAAAAAGCAGGGATGACACCGACCGGACAAGGCCCGGTTTCCACTAAAGCAGAAAGGTGAGGGAAGAGATGTTTGAGTAACTAATTTCATTATTTCCACCACACCTCTCGGCTCAGCTTCGGTTCGGATATCTGGCTATCTATCCTGGTTTGTCGACTCTGAGCCGATTCGGGCGTCGAGCTGGTGCCCATGACCCGTGCCTCTTCTCGACTAGCTACTGCCAGTCGGTGGTTGGGACGTCGCTGGCCTGAGGATACCTGTTGGGATACCATGTTTAGTAATCACCTTATGACATCCGCCATAGTCGGCGGCGCGGCCGGCAGACCTGCGCCGTCGCACGACTCGCCCTCCTGCGGACACAAAACGATTAAGATAAGTAGAGAGTACAATTTCACAACGTTTTTGCGAATGCACAAGGCAAGTATTCACCGACTGATATACAAAAAGAAAACTAAGTAAGGCTGTGAAGCTTAAAAAAAGAAAAAAAAATTAATGATAAAGTTTCAAATTCAAATTCTTTATTGCTTCCTGATCTATCTTCTCCTTAAAATTGGCAGTGTCCCAAAGGGGACACTACAACTGACGCCAGGGGTACCCTGTACCTGTCAAGGCAGCCTCAATTCAGTGCACATCTTCCGTTCCAGTATAACCACCAGGTTGGTAAATGGCTCTACTTCACTCGCGCCAGTGTGGCGACGCCACTACAAACTAGTGACCAACAGATGGCGCTGTCACTACTTCACTATGGCACACTCCGCCGCTCATACAAACCTGCATCGCGGTGACGGAGTTTTATATCCTGCCAAGTATATATAGACAAACCAAGATGGTGTAAATTGGACCTTGGTCCCCGAGCACAACACCCGCTCGGAAGGAAGCACTAACATCTAGCTTCCTTATTGTGGTTGAGCATCATATCCCACATTGGTGACCCCGACGTGATTTGAACACGCAACCTCCATCATCACCATCTTTCGGCATCAGCCTCCGCCATCCTCACCATCTCCGCCACTCCGTCATCAGCTCCAGTCTTCAACAAGCCAGCATCCAGCCTTCAGGGACCATCGCAGATCGCAACCGACCTTCCTGGTTCCTCGGCAGCAAGCAACCGTCACTTCACTTGTCACGGGTACAGCTCTGGCCCAGCTCCACGCCCGACCATCGAAGACGCCTCCGGCTCACTATCCCGACTCACCGTGGATAGAGCACTGCAACCTGCTCGTCTCGACTCACCGCAGACTTGAGCACACTGGCACTTGTAAGCTCATCACGCACAGACTGCTGAGCTCATCCTGACGTCATCCACCTCCGGTTCTTCCGGGGGGTGTGGTGTGGCGACGCCACTACAAACTAGTGACCAACAGATGGCGCTGTCACTACTTCACTATGGCACACTCCGCCGCTCATACAAACCTGCATCGCGGTGACGGAGTTTTATATCCTGCCAAGTATATATAGACAAACCAAGATGGTGTAAATTGGACCTTGGTCCCCGAGCACAACACCCGCTCGGAAGGAAGCACTAACATCTAGCTTCCTTATTGTGGTTGAGCATCATATCCCACACCAGTTATTGTGGTTCATGCTTTTTTCTTTTCCTTGCTGCAGTGTTTGACAATGTCGAATTATCCACTACAACAGCCAGCAGAATTACCCTGAACGGTTTTAGGATCGCGTACCTTTGCCAGCGAGCCTTCCCCATACCTGTGCTGATGAACGTACTCCGTAGCTGTGTCGCATATCTACGCACATCTCCAGCGTTTCTGCCAGTATAACTATGAGGTTGGTACGACCTGTGTCCCCCGTAACTATAGGCACCTCGTACCTGTGTCCCCCGTAACTGTAGGTACCCCTTACCTGTGCTGACGAGCGTACTCTGTAGCTGTACCAAGGGGCGTGTCCAGTGCCTGTGAGTGTACTCTGTTGCTCTCGCGTTTCGGTCAGTATAACAGCGCTCATGGTTATACCAACGTATAATAGCCCCGAGTGGTTCTTTGTACCTGTGAAGACGGGTGTACCCCGTACCCTTGTCCCCCTGTACCTGTGTACCCCGTACCTGTACCTGCAACAGCGCGACGCCCATGTCTAGGCGGCGGCACAGGCAGCACAGCAGCCGGCTCATGGGCCGGTAGCTGTCAGCTGTGGCACTCTGCAGTTGTCCCGGCGGCGTGCCCTGTACATATGTTCCCCGTAACTGTAGGCACCCCGTACTTGTGCTGACGAGCGTACTCTGTAGCAGTGTAGCTGCACCAAGGGGCATGTCCTGTTTCTGTGAGTGTACTCTGTTGCTCTCGCGTTTCGGTCAGTATAACAGCGCTCATGGTTGTACCAACGTATAATAGCCCCGAGTGGGTCTTTGTACGTGTGAAGACGGGTGTAACCCGTACCTATACCTGTGCTGGCGAGCTTGCTCTGTAGCTGTACCGAAGGCCGTGTGTACCTCTGTAACTATATGTGACCTAGTATCTGTAACTCTGTCCCCCCGTAACTATAGGCGCCCCGTACCTGTACCTGCGACAGCGCGACGCCCATGTCTAGGCGGCGGCACAGGCAGCACAGCAGCTGGCTCATGGGCCGGTAGCTGGCAGCAGCCGTGCCCTGTACCCTCGTCCCCTGTACACGTGTACCCTCGTCCCCTGTACCCCTGTACCCTCGTCCCCTGTACCTGCGACAGCGCGACGCCCATGTCTAGGCGGCGGCACAGGCAGCACAGCAGCCGGCTCATGGGCCGGTAGCTGTCAGCAGCCGTGCCCTGTACCCTCGTCCCCTGTACCTGCGACAGCGCGACGCCCATGTCTAGGCGGCGGCACAGGCAGCACAGCAGCCGGCTCATGGGCCGGTAGCTGTCAGCAGCCGTGCCCTGTACCCTCGTCCCCTGTACCTGCGACAGCGCGACGCCCATGTCTAGGCGGCGGCACAGGCAGCACAGCAGCCGGCTCATGGGCCGGTAGCTGTCAGCAGCCGTGCCCTGTACCCTCGTCCCCTGTACCTGCGACAGCGCGACGCCCATGTCTAGGCGGCGGCACAGGCAGCACAGCAGCCGGCTCATGGGCCGGTAGCTGTCAGCAGCCGTGCCCTGTACCCTCGTCCCCTGTACCTGCGACAGCGCGACGCCCATGTCTAGGCGGCGGCACAGGCAGCACAGCAGCCGGCTCATGGGCCGGTAGCTGTCAGCAGCCGTGCCCTGTACCCTCGTCCCCTGTACCTGCGACAGCGCGACGCCCATGTCTAGGCGGCGGCACAGGCAGCACAGCAGCCGGCTCATGGGGCGCGCGCCATCACCGCGCCGCAGCCGCACGCGCCCGCGCTGCAACAAATACGACCTTAAGTCCACGGCATAAGGTACCACAAAGTTCACATATCAACTATTACCTGGCGGCCGTGACGTTACATCAACGCTCTGTAACCTTAAGGCTTTGGCAGACCAAACGCGGGGCAGTAGCAGCGCAGTTTGAATGCAGGCCCGCGCAAGTTGTAATACAAGGAACTCTTTGAAGTGTGTCACACCAAATATGAACGCGGGCCCGCGCTCCAACCGCGCCGCACTGCAACTGCCAAACGACAAACCAGGCGGCGCGGTAGCGGGACAGAAGCGGCGCGAACGCGGGCCCGCGCTGTTATTACTATGGCGGATATATTATATCATATTATATCATATTAGGGCATATCTGTGGGGACCTATAAGTGGTTATCAAGTGTTATTAATTGTAAAATAATCAATTATGTAAACCCTGGTCTTCCTAATATAAATAAATAAATATTATTGTTACTGTAAAAGCTCGAATGGCAGTAAATCCTAAGATATTCCAGTAAAACCTAAGATCTACCAATTCCTAATGGTAAATGTCCCAAAAGGTTTGCGATTCCAACTGTTACCACCATTTCGTTGGTAAATCTTAGGATTTACATTAATGGCACGGTAAATGTTGAAAAACAAAACAAGCATCTTTTACAGGTAACAATCGGTCTTATCTACCGAGTAGTTGTAGTAGTAGTTTTTGCTTGAAAAGAGTAGCAAACATCCAAACAAACTTTCGCGTTTATATTAGTAGGATGTATGCAGTACAAAATTTCAGTGTTCTAGATAGGCTAGATATAATATTTACAGATATGCGCTACTATCAATGCTGGGTTATTATAATTCCGATTTTTTCCACTTCACATTTCGTCCATGCCATGGACGAAATAACAAAAATGATAATACCATTGACTCCATGGTATTATCATTTTTGTCATAATCTTACTAATTAAAAGTTCTGTAAACTTTTACGAAAACAACATCGTTGGTAATGAGTCAGAAGGAATAAAAAAAGGAAACAGTAAAAATGTGAAAACCAAAACACAAGAAAAAGAAATGATTGCAAATAATTTAAATAAGTTGATATTAGTTTGTACTTATTACTATCTGATACCTTTATAATACTATGTACCTGTTTTGTCTAATAGTTGATGAAAGTAAGTAATTAAGAATTATTCATTGTTTTATTCCTAAAACCAACATCTACCAGCTGACAGAGGTAAAACCTAGCATATACTGAATTCGAATGGTAAAAGCTCGAAAAAGTCGTCGTATTTTCAGCAATACTTACATTTACCAACTCATGTCGGTAAATCCTAAGACTTACACTTAAATCTTAAGATTAACCGTAGTTCGAGCTTTTACAGTAACATTATCATGACACACCGGACGCAGGGCGGTAGCAGCGCGTTGAAAGCGGTTTTCGAATATTAAATTTTTTGACAACCGCCCGCGTTGCAACTGCTTGGAAACTGCACTGCTTTCAGTGTGCCTCAGCCGCGCTGCAACTGATTCTAACCCGCGTTTGGTCTGTGGAAGCCTTAAGAGAGTATGAAAACCAGTCAAGGTCAGAATCTGCAACTAGAACCATTATCCAATCAGTGATTTACTGCGTAGCTTCACCGGTGACAATAATAACAAGGGGGACAGCTGGCGATACAAAACATGTGTTTAGATTCAGTGTAGTCAGCATCTAAAGTAGTATTGGCATGTTTTCGTTTATCTAAATATACCAAAGCTAAAGGTCACTGACTGAGTCACTCACTCATCACGAAATCTCAGAAACTACAAGTGCTAGGAGTCCCAAATTTTGCATGAGGTTTCCTTTTAGAACGTAGGTGCTCACTAAGAACGGATTTTACGAAACTCTACCCTTAAGGCCGGCAATACACGGATTGCTTGAAGCAGTCAGGGTCGACAGCTTCAAGCTGTAGACCGCCCGAATCAGTTGCAACTGCTCGAGCGGTTCGTGTATGTGCGTACATAGAACTCTGCAGTTCACTGTGCAGTCGCAGCTTGAAGCTGTCGAACCCGACTGCTTCAAGCGGTCATTGCCGCTCGAAGGGAGTAAAACGGGATCCATGCGTGCAAAGTCGCGGAAGGCCGCTAGTTTAAGCAAACTTATCAGATGCATTTTTATGTTTTTGAATTAATTTTAGAGACAACTGATTTGTATTATGTTGCTACCTTAAATAAATAAAATAACACTAAAGAAATCAATTCACAGGATCAGTTGTTGTGGAAATCCTTAGGGGAGGTCTTTGCCCAGCAGTGGACGTCATTTGGCTGAAACTAACGAAAGGAATCAACTGCCTCAAGCAACCAGTGTACCATTAAAAAGTAAATTAATTACCAATTAACCAAATAACTATTAACTAGTCTGGTACCTGCTATTAAAGTGTGATTATTTATCATACACCAATTTTTTCAATGATTTGACTATCTTGAAACTTATTAAGTGCTTAAAATTGAATGATGCTTAGAAATTAAAGGTTTCACAAATAGGTATAAAGCAAATAGAAATAAAAATATCCTGGTTTTGCATACTAATGATATTAGTGGAAATACTTCATTATGAGTTAAAGCATAAAGGACTATACAATAATATTATGGTTTTATTTTAGTTTATTTTATTTCTTCAACTTTCTTACAGGTCAATTTTGAAATTAGGTTAATCTATGATTTTTTTGTAAGTCTAAACTTTTACTGTGTCTTTCTAAGTAATGGAATACTCTATCCAACACCATAGAAGTGGTAAACTAAATATGGGAGACCTTTTTTAATAAAGTTCATTGACCTTTGAATCTCATAAGCATCATCATCATCATTTTCAGCCATAGGACGTCCACTGCTGAACATTGGCCTCCCCCAATGATTTCCATGTTGATCAATTAATAGTGGCCTGCGTCCAGCGCCTTCCTGCTACCTTTATGATGTCGTCGGACCACATTGTGCCTCATAAGCATACTGCTTATTAATAAAAAAAACAATTTTGTTATTATTAGACACCAAAATAATAAAAATAAGATATAAGCCTTGCCCCAAAACAACTTAGAACTAAGGCAGTAGTTTTGTTGTCCAAACTGGTTCATTACTTGCTAATATGTATGCAATGCAAAATGCTAGTGGCCAACCTTTATTTTTGATGCCAATAGCTTTCAAGGCTCTATAATACTCTATATGAATTGAATATCAGGTTATATCAGCAAATTTTGAATCTTCTGGGTGTTTATTTGATCCAAAAATTATTATATTGTGTGTCTCAGGATATTATGGAAGTACCTAAATAGTAAAAATTTTTAAAATATGTTACCAATTTTTTTCCCTTTGCATTTAGGCAGTATTGTTTACCACTTTCAGTTGCAAAAAAAAAAACATTCACTTTTTAACATCCTCACACTGGCCACTAAGTTTTGAAATAAAAAAGGAGGTCAATGAAAGATGTTTTATCATCTGTGCTACATGGCCTACATGACAGCCGCCCTACATACCTTCCGGCCTCATCCCTTCCGTATCGGGGGCATGTGGCAGCCGTGAGGACTCCGAAAGTGAACGTAGGGGGTGCGGTTCACCACGAGGGGTGCCTGACGTCACTGCGCGCGCACCTGACCTCGTCCCGACGTGACCCACATAGGCAGTTCATTGCGACACTACAGAAATGTCAACAGCACTCGCCCACAGCCAAAGGCTACGAGATCTATTGACTAACACCTTCTGACGCCCTAGAAACACTATTGCGGACATCGCTATGACCCAAAAACTAGCCATCCAACTCCAAAACCACTTCTTTCGGGACAACTTTTCAGAAGTTATCAAACTGACATTTAATTTTGTAGGTATTGCGAGGAAATTATGAGAGATGATAGAAATGGGAATGCACTCACTTGCAGCCGAAGGCATTACGCGAATTATCCCAAACACACTCGCCAGTCTTCACACAAACATTTTGTTATTTTTCACTAACACCACCACCGCCATTATCATTCTATACGTCAACTTGTAAGACCCAAAACCACTGATCACCTCGCTTCCATTTCCACTTATTTGGCACGCAATGCACTTATCACTATTGCCTTAATATATTTTTACACAAATAAGTCACGGATACAAGCTCGTCGTACAAAAAAACTGAAAAAACAGGAAAAGATGAACCCGTTAGATCTTCCCGTTCTTTGCAATACTACTGCTGCCAACTTTGAAATTTTGTAAATAAATACAAATTGTACCAACATTAACAACTTAACATGACAGAATTACGACACACCATTGGCTGTTTCACGACAAAAGCGAGAGATTGGTCAAAAGTTTGACACATTTTTCTAAATAGCCAATCGCAATACAGGTTAAAAATCTCATTTCAAATTAGAGACACTAGCCGATTTTCTTTCATAATCGGATATAGTTCCAAAATACTGGACTGTCCTGTCGATGACATTGACAGTGGGGCGCCACCGTCAATACCGGATCGCTGGTTCAGATTTTTGCCATGTTGGAAACCATATAGTTGAACGATGGTAGCGCCCCCCTGTCATTGAGTTTGGTGGGACAGTTCAGCCCCCCTAGACAAAACGCACTTTTTGATCGAATCGAAAATCGAATCCGTCAAAACTCCATACAAAAAAGGGGCTTTTCGACCACTTTGCGACTGGTTTGCGATTATATTTTGCACTTTGTCTAGACCCACTGCTTGGGTCATCTATACAAACATGGAATTGTTCCAGAAAAAATATTTTTATGCGAGGTTCTCAAAATTATTTCTATACAACTGAAATAAAGGTAGGTAAATGCAAATTATTTGAGATATGGATTTAAATTTTAATTAATTGACAAGGAAAAATCCAAACTCAACAAACGCATTTCTGATAAAATCATAATCAAAAGTTTTCCAAACATTTTAATTATAAGCGTATCCAAATTTTTCAAGACAAATGAATGACAGCTGTGTGAATTTGATTTGATTTTGTAAATGAAAAAATTGGTAAAATCTGTGTGTCAGTTTGTAAATCCATTTTTGTAGTGCGTCTAATCAAAAAGAAAAAGTAGTTTTAGTTTACTTGTGATACAGATTTACAGCTTTTCACTGGATCAGGTACGATAATGTAAAAATGATACTTGTTTTGTTTACCTACATGCTATAGTTCTCAACGATTGTTTATTTTGGTAAATAACCGCATAATGTCTTGGCCAGACCATAATTCGATAAATAAAATTTATTCGATAGTGTTCAATGTTGTGATAAATAATTGTAGTGACCTCCAGTAGGTTATTATTACTTTTTTACCTAAAGTTATGCCCTATCCATATTATAACCTGGATCTACCTGGATACTATTATATCTATCACAATTCCTGAACCTATGACGCAATATGAACTTATCAAAATTCATAAATTTCTTCAAAATGGATAAATTTTGTCTACATCCCTTATTCTCATCTTGTCTACCCTCACATTCCCCTGGTAATATCCAGGTTCATGTCCCCATTCCTTAAAACATCGTTTTTGAAGAATCTTAACTCCTGTAAGCCTATAATCAGTTTGATATGTTGTAAAACTAGCTTTTCCCCTTGAATTTTGTTCTGTCACAGAGTTTACATTCACACACAATGTGGCATTCTATTGGTAAAAGAATTTTCAAAATCTGTTCAGTAGATACAGAAATTACTCACTGCAACTTCAGAAACTAGGTACCTCTTTGTAATATTAGTAGTAGATCAATATTAAGATTGTATTTGAGGTTAAGGCTATCATCTTTTCAACTCAGTTTCTTTTATTTGAACTTGTTGTTTTATGTGTATCAATAATGTCTTTATCTATCTATCCCTCTCTTGGCCTTCTACTGAAAATCACTGTAAATCAGTGTTCTGGACACTTGACATTGTGTCCATCATACTCTTAGTTGGTAGGATATTCTTACTTAGTGGGTGTCCATTTTGGCATAATGTATTATAATATTATTATTATTTATTTGGTACCAAAAAAAATTAATTTCTTACTACAAAACCTTACACTACACCTAAACCTAATAAACTAAGAGCTAGTGAACGCCAGACTTACGTCATTTTATAAAAGCTGATAGATTGTCAATATATGCTGCCAATACAGGAATATTGTTGGTGAATTATGAAGTCATCGTGGCTTTGGCAGCTACCCTAAAAAAACTGTCTGGCAAGGAGTTGGAACTGTCAAAACTGTTTGGCTGATGGGGAAACTACTTCTAATTGTTGCCCAAATATGATTTATAAAAATCTGCTTTTATGGTATAACATAAGTCTAACTTTTACGGTGGCTTTTTCTGTATATTCAATAGACTGTAATTCTACTAAAGTTATACCATAAAGTCTGATTTTTATGTATAATATTTGGGCAATAATTAGAAGTAGTTTCCCCATCAGCAAGACTCATCTAGCTTTTTCACGCGTAAGGTTTCTGTTTGTCAATGAAAGAAATATTTTTGTCCACAGAACAGCCTCATGATTATACAACATGGACGAGCCCTCCACAAGCGGATCACCACCATCCACCAGCGTCGTCGTCCCCGAGTCTCCGGGGAGCCCCAACTTATTAGATCCTCCTTCCCCGGACAGTCCGGGCCTGGGCTCCCTTCTACGACTTGATACCAACCCGGAAATCTTCGAGCAACCGGAAGATGAGTACAGTAACATAGGAACAGATTCAGGCCCAATCAATTTCAGTGAAAGCAGCCGAAGTAACTGGAGGAGGCTGGATGACGAAAACTCCAACTCAGCTTTACCACACAGTTCCACTAATGAAGACAGCAATAGCACAGCCATACAGTCTATGAATGAGGAGTCTAACAGCATGCTGTCTATACCTGAAGCGCAGGTCAGGAAAAGTGACGATCACTCCGACGAACCCCCCAGCAAAGTTAGGAAGATTTCGTCGCCGAAAACGGACGATATGGACGGAGAAACGTGCCCCATTTGCTTAGATTCGTGGGGCAATTCTGGGGATCATAGATTGGTTGCGTTAAAATGCGGTCATCTGTTCGGTTCGCAGTGCGTCGAGCGTTGGTTGAAAGCGCAAATATCTAAAGACAGATCGTGTCCTACCTGCAAAAGTAAGGCCCATTTAAAAGATCTAAGGCACATCTATGCTAGACGCTTGGTAGCTGCAGACACGTCGCAAGTAACGACGCTGCAGAATCAAATTCATACGCTTCAAGCAGAGAAGAGCCGAGCGGAATTGGATCTCCAAAAGTCGAGGATAGCCCACCGAGCCTGCCTCTTACAACTCGAAGTGCTTAGGAGCACTTTGATGAAGTGCCAAGTGGCGAAAGAACCGCCCGTTCGCAGATCCTTCAGGTTCGCTTTGGAGAAAAACTTGGAGATATCCAGAGAAGGTGGCTGTCGGGTGATGACGTACAACTGTCGCTCGTACGAACTATACGTCTCTCAAAAGAGCACAAATACTTTATTCCCAGGCTTTGGGATAAGAAAAGTCAGCTGCGTCGACTACAAATTGGGGCAATTCGTGCATTTGCACCCGAAACCTATCAGGGACATAACGTATTCTCAACGCAGAGACCTTCTTTTGAGCGTTGGCTTAGACAGCACTGCTAGAATCATGGAAAGAGGCAATGCCTGTATGACAGTCAATGCTGGCTTCCCTCTATGGTCTTGTTCATGGGACTACATGAGAACCAACGAGTTTTACGTCGGCGGCGTGGGCGGGGTTATCCACCAATACGACGTGAGGAACTCCAGTACTTATATGCAGAGATTATCAGCTCCCAGTGATATTTCCCCTGTTGTATCCTTGTGTTCTACTGAACATGGGTTGTTGTCCTGTCAGTTGAACTCTTGCTGGCTGTGGACGTCGAATATGAGGCAGTGGGAACCCCGCACTATACCCATTGATGGTCCTTTTATGTCCTTGTGCTACGACAATGAATCCCACAGAGCGCTAATTTCCTGCAGATCAGGATTGGCGACTTCTGATCGCTCCAGGCTTACGCTATGCAAACTGAGAAGTAGTGTGCCTAGCGGAGAGGTGTTGTTCGATGTGGAGCAGACTTTAAACGGCTCTGCGAAGTCTTCCATTATGTCTCGAGCCGCTTGGGTGAAAACTACGGGTGCGTCGTGGGTGGCTGCCCATTCTGAGAGCGACTCGATGTTGTACCTTCACGGTTTGGACGGAGCTAGGAGTATATCACTGTTAGCAGCGGAACCAGCTCTAGATGTGTGTTCGGCACAAATAAATGGTGACACAATTGTAGCCTCGCTGTCTGAATCCAGACTTAGGTTGTACAAATCTGTGGCAATGAACTCATGATATTAACTTGAACTTAGTGCTGTGATTATGTGTGAATCGGTGCAGTGAACTGAAATTGATACTTCTGTTGTTTTGAAGCATGCTATTGATGAACAGTTTAGTTTTATAGTACCCATGGACCTCTAATCTAGGGAGAAGACTTTTAAAAATTATGGTACGCCAAAGTGGCTGGCCCATTTTGCTACGAACTCTCACGCACATGTCACGAAAACCTATCTTACGGGCATCTAACCATATTGCTTTGGGGCTTTTTCGGGTCGCTCGAAGCTATACAAATAAGCACAAAAGCACGCCCGGTGCACGAAAAAATATCGTTCAACCCATGGATATACCTTTTTTTTATAGGTTTCATAGTTTAACCAGTTTACCCACTTTTAATAGTTTAAGTCTGCTAGGATTTTACCAAAATAATGTACAAACATTAAAACAATTTGTAATCTCAAAATCGGAAAAGAACCACTGCCAAAGTAAAATAATGCTGCCTGATGCCTCGTAGAATAACAATTAGAAATAAATACCTAATTTTTATGACCCAGGACCGATTACACCGATAGATTTTTGTTTTGTATTGTCTCTAAATTGACGTTGATGTGATTTAAACATTCAAGGCCCTTTCTGAATAAAGTTTTTTGTTTAAAATAAATAACTATGTATTCCCGGAATCCCGAACAGTAAAAAACATTACAATTTATTTCCTAGCTTTATTAATGGCAGTAGAAATAGGAATTTATTATTCAACCACTGTTAAAAACATTTATGTACATTTGTTTTTAGTGATGTTATACGTAAATTCCTATTTATATCACTGCCTGTAAAGCTGGGAAATAAATTACCGTGTGCTTACTAGCAATAAAATGAAGTTATTCTGTGATAGATCACTAGAAAGGGTCATTATTATGCCAAGTACTTTAAAATCAAATATGTATGACGAACATTATGATACTATTTTAGATTTTTTATATTATTACAGTAGTAGATACAAAAAATATGTGCTAAAACATCAATTGCTATGATTATAAATTACTGTATCACAATTTGTAATGATTAAAGAAGACTTTGTTTACTTTATTTTTGTTTTGTTTTTAACTGGCAAGACTTATGAATAATTTATTTTCTAATTTTTATTTCATTTGTTTAAGACAGCGAATAAAAGTGAATGTCGTGTATGTTATTTTAATGCATTTATTGTTTTGTAAATAAATTTATCATTGCAGTTTTGTGTAGTTTCTTTAAATGTAATTTTTATTTCCATAAGACTTTTTTTACAAGTTTATTTTCACTTTTAGCAAAATTGTAACTTAAAATACAGGGGCTGTATTACAAAAAGTTAAACACGCGTTGAGCACTTGGCGTAACTTGATATTTAAGTCTTGCGCCTAACTCAGTCATTGCCTGAGGTATGAGAGCGGCACGGGAGGGGAACATTGACATATTATGAGCTGACAGAGCATACAAATGTATAGATTATAAATGAGGGCTATCGTTTTAGCGCTCACCACTTGGCGCCACTGTAGAGTAAGGTCCTGTCACTTGCTAGTAGCGAAGACAGTGGCGCTGACTGGTGAGCGCGAAAGTGGTAGGAAGACTATCGCATTTGCGCTCATCAAGATGGCGCCACTGTAGAGTAAGGTCCTGTCAATCGCCAGGGGTGCCAACTGTTAAGTATAAAAACGATAGCCCTCATTGAACTGTCCCACCAAACTCATTGACAGGGGGACGCCACCATCGTTCAACTATACATATACCCCCTACTAATAAAGTTACACAGTTGTTGAACACTGTTTTAAAATGACATTTCCATACTAAACGTCACTTTAAAACACTATTCAACGAGCGTGTAAGTTTTTCTTTTCTTTCTTTTTTCTTTGTCTTCTTACGTTACAATAAAATACTTCAACATCCGTACCGCGGGTAAGAGACCTGGGGTCCTGAAATACAGGATTATCCTAGTTTAGGCTCCAGTTCACCTAAATAGCGCCAACAAATGTAATTAATATTAGTAAGGGGGATAGTTTCCAACATAGCAAAAATGTGCACATGAAGTCTCGCACGTTTAACGTCCCAAAAACGCCTCCCTCGTGTCGCTCCCAAACCTCAAGCACTGACTGAGTTTAAGCGTAGTTGAGTGAGTTAAGACCTATAGCATGGAAATGTCATTTTAAACCCGTGTTTAACGTCTGTTTAAGTTATTTGTAATAGCACCAACAAGGTTTATCTAAATAAAACAAAATTATGTAGTTAAAAACATTATATTTCTCAAATTATTTTCTTTGAGGTGATATACAAATAATTTGTGTTAATTTATTCTTCAACATTCATCAACATATCAAAATGTTTACCATTTTGGTAACTGGCAACACGCACATACTTTCATTCAAAATTCAACCTACTCGCAAACAAAATAAGGCACCTTTCACACATATTTTTTATATGACAGTAGAAAGTTAGAAACATATTTTATACCTTATTGCCTTGTCTTGATGTCCAAAACAATGTTTTTTATCTTGAAATCCTCTCAGGCCATTAAAATAATAGTTTTTGGACTTTAACACAAGGAAATAAGGTACAAATTGCCACTGCCTAGTCCTCCGCTGCTAAAGCGTGAGACGAAGCAAGATTTTTTTTAAATAATATAAAAGCAATAAATATAGAACGACGCCAAATGTATAAAACGATCAAAATGTATAGTAAATAGGCGTTTTAAAATGAAATAAAATTCAAGTGGGTGTGTTCGCAATAATAAAATTAGTTTGAGGCGGTACGCTAAAGAAATATTCGAATGCGCTACGAATGCTCGCAAACTTAGAGACCGAGAATGTTCCTATTGAATTATATGGAGGTAATACATCGCAATTAAGATCACGGATATCAAAAAAATCGGCGTGAATAAATAAATAGTACGGTAGGTACGTTCTATTGGAAAACGATAGGGTAGTTGGACACCACCAATGCGATATTTTCGAGCGAGCTATATGCTACTAAAAATAGAGCTGTAAAATAACCAGTATTATGTAACTAAAATGTAGTGCTTTTCAAAGAATGCCCCAAAATTATGGTGTCAACTACCTAGTTGATTTTATTGTAATTTAACAGCATTAAAACACGTATTCATAGCTCAAAGCTCACAGTCTTCAATCGCTGAGCTCCAAATCCGAATCTGAGTCATCCCGTCCTCCACGTATCGTCTTCTTGCTTTGTATGTGTAGTTTCTTCTTCTGCTGGTCAGGCGGCGTGAGGACATCTCCAGAGTACTCGATCACCTCCGACCTGGGAGGGAATGTCATTGGTGTCAATGAGGAATAGTGGGGGGCCGAGAGTGGTGCCTTGAGGAGTTCCAACAAATTGTGTTTAAGAAATGGTAGTAGGCCCAAAGTGGTGCCTTGCAGAGCTCCCAAAATTAGTTTGCTGAACTAATGAAATGAGTACTTCTAAATCGTGAGCACATGAGTTTACGTTAGATGTGCTCGCTAGCGAGTGCGTCAGAAAAACTATAAAGATTTTAGTTCTTAAAAGTAGCCGCTAGGGGCGCTGTACAATCAGTCACACAGTTACCAACAAAAAGTTATTAATTAAGCAGTTTAGCCAGCCTAATTGTTTACCCACAAGGTGGACCGACGTCCTCATAAAGGTAGCGGGAAGGAGCTAGATGCACCGCCACCAACCGGCCATTGTGGAAATCATTGGGAGAGGCCTATGTTTAGCAGTGGACGTTCTATGGCTGAAAATGATGATGATGATTTTTTTTTATCCACAACAAGGAAGCTCTTGGCCTGTATCTCACCTGATGGTAAGTGACGATCAGGCCGAAGGTGGAAGCGAGCTTCACCCGGAATCCTCAACCACGGAGGAACGGCTATCTTACTTCTAACTGACGGAACACAACAATGCTGTTAACATTGTTGTTATGGCGACAGACTTAGGTAAGATGGTGGTAGCTAGCCAGGCGGACTTAAAACAAGCCCTACCACCAACCAAACCGAACAGAAAAATCTGCCCCCAGTGGGAATCGAACCCGGGACCTCTGCGTCTGAAGCAGGTGGTCTTACCACTAAACCACAGAGGCGGTTAAAATGATGATGTTGATGATAATGATGATGATGTTGATGATGTTGTTGATGATGATGATAATGATGACAATAATGATGATGATGATGAACTGTTTACCTTGCGAGCCTCCACTCTAACATTTCTGTGGAGAAGTCGTCTCTATTCCCGAGCTCGGTGAAGCCCACGATGAAGTCCTTCGTCTTGTTGTCTTTCACCAGCCCAATAGTGGGAATGACGCGGATCTTCAGGCGCCCTGCGGGTATTACCAACATTTAAAGAAAGAAAGAAAGATACATTTATTACAATGGACATCACACAAATACAGGCAATTACATATACATGACAGTGGCACATAATAATAAAAGAAGAAAAAATAAAAACAAGAGTAAACTGAGCAGTGCCACCCATTCACTAACAAGATGCCCACTGCAACGGGACCCCACTCAGCATATGCCGTGGCCCACGGTGACGAAGGCCACGGCGCTGGTTTTCAGTGTGCCCCATGCCGAGTGAGTTCATTTCGTTTAGTCTAAAGCCTGGTCCGTGAGCACGTAGAATTTTGTCTAATGACCCCAAGCTGCCCATCCTTATCGCTCGCGCTTAATTATACAGGGTGGAAACGATAAGTGATCTCACTCGATTATTTCTAAACTATACAAGATATCAATAAATTTGTTACTGATCCTGAAAGTGCTTCATGAGCTCTATCAAACGGTATTAATAATAGGTTACAGAATAAACTGGATCTATCCGAAAATTCAATGTTTCCAGCTTTCATACATTTGGTAAAGTCACATTATTTTAAAAACTACACATGATATCGTAGAACTGATTACTGATTCTAAAAGTGCTTCACAAGCTCTATCCAATGGTATCAATAATAGGTTACAGAATAAACTGGATCTATCCAAAAATTCAATGTTTCCTTCTTCCATACTAAACGTATGCCAGAGAAACAATATTAGAAGTGTATTTTTTTTCTAATATTGTTTCTCTGGCATACGTTTAGTATGGAAGTTGGAAACATTGAATTTTCAGATAGATCCAGTTTATTCTGTAACCTATTATTGATACCATTGGATAGAGGTTGTGAAGCACTTTTAGAATCAGTAATCAGTTTTTCAATATCTTGTATAGTTTAGAAATAATCGAGTGAGATCACTTAACGTTTCCACCCTGTATTGCTGTCGCGACTGTGCGACGGGCGCCCGCAGTGAGTGTGCGAGCGCGACAGCAACATAATTACGCGCGAGCGATAAGGATGGGTAGCTTGGGGATGGGGTCATTGGACAAAATTCTACGTGCTCACGGACCAGGCTTTACATTTGAAAATTTTACTGCCTCTATGAGGACAGTATAGCTCGTTTCATCCATGAAGACGCGCCTTAACAATTATTGGTCGAGTAAAGCGCGGAGTGCGAGTCATTATTGTAGTGTGCGTGTGCACTCATGAATGATTGTGCAACATTCAAATATTAGCGGAAGAATGTTCGGACAAAAGTCCCAAAAAAAAAAGACATAATATGTCTTTTTTTTTTGGGACTTTTGTCCGAACATTCTTCCGCTAATATTTAAAAAAAATCCGTCTGGCTAGCTACCACCATATTACGTAGGTCGTAGCGTAAAGATTTGCAATACCCATACAGGGTCATAAGTTGAGACTTTTAGTTTAAGATCACCACCTATGTACTGTCACTGTTTATTGTGTTGTGTCACAGCATATTTTCGGCGAGGACAGGTTTTAATAGTGACATTTTCCATACATTTTTTTAGCACTTACCGCTAAAAGAACGCCATTTTATTATTATTGACGCTAACAATTCTATTGTCGGCCAAACGCCTCCTATGTCTTGATCAAGTTCCATAATAACAAGTTCATATTACATGAATGATATGCCCCTGAATTATGTAATATTTAGAGCAATTTTTTAACATGTTAACCAGTAAGGCTGATCACCAGAAGTATTATCATTATTTCATGATAATTTTTAGCGATTTTTTGAGATACTTCTCGTTGCAGTCTGGAGTGGGGTTTTTTTGAAACTTATGCCCATTTTCACCATCAATCCCTAATTTTTAAGTGACTCCTATGTAAACAAAATTCCTGTTATTTGTTACCACAGGGGTCACTTAAAAATTAGAGATTGATGGTGAAAACGGGCTTTATTCTATTAAGTTTCAACTCACCAGCCAAGAACGGAGCCCGTTCAGCGTCCAGCTTCACGAATCTTGTCTCAACGTGTTTCTTGGCTAGCGTCTTGAGATGCATGTCGACGATCCGGCAGCGCGGCGAGTCGTTCTTGTAGAAGTGACAGACGACATTGTTGCTTTTGTTGCAGATCGTGAAGAACTCCTTCTCGCCGTCAATTTCTGTGTATTCTCCGTGACCCTGTGAAAGCACATTTTGTAGGAGTCAGTACCAGTAGAACAGCGGTTACCAAACTTATTTAGTCTACTGCCCACTTTGAGAATAAATTATTTTTAGCGCCCCCCATTTTTGTAGTCAAGAGTCGAGCTCAGTCGGTGTCTAAGAGTCCTCCTAGTAGATGACGCCTCCCAAGCCTCTACACTACGTCCCGATTTTTTTTCTGGGTCTCTTACGGCCCCCCTTTAAGCCTGCAGCGCCCACAAGGGGGCGTTATCGCCCACTTTGGGAAAGACTGCAGTAGAAGGTAAGGTTCCTGTAATATTGATGACAAACAATTTTGACTTAGTTACTGGGCTATAGCTACATATCTACACTATTATAAAGAGGAAAACTTTGTTTGTTTGTTTGGTTGTAATGAATAGGCTCAAAAACTACTGGACCGTTTTTAAAAATTCTTTCACCATTCGAAAGCTACATTACTCACGAGTAACATAGGCTACATTTTATTTTGGAAAAAAATATGAAGTCCACGCGGGCGAAGCCGCGGGCGGAAAGCTAGTTATGTATATTTTGATAAGTGCCGCCTAATCATTAGTTCATGTAGCACCCTCTAGTACCTATTACTAGGACCCATATCAAAGTTCACATATCAATTGTGAACTGGTGATTCTGTGAATTCTCTTTCGCATACAAAACCTATTAAGTCCTCAGAGAGTTGCGTTTTGACAACTCATATATGATACACTCATACATAATGACAATAATTGACTAGGGTTTCATCTACCCTATTTATAACGTTATTTATAAAAAGCGACCCGCCCCGACTTCGCACGGGTGCTAAGTATACTTATGAACCTTCCTTTTGATTCATTATATTAAAAAAACCGCATCTAAATCCGTAGGGACAGACAGACAGGAAAGCGACTTTGTTTTATACTATGTAAAGAATAAAGTTTTTTTTATTAATTTTTTTATTCTATAATTTAAGGGTTTCTTCTGAAAGAAGATGGCACCCTCACAGAACTCACACGTCATGATCAACACTATAATCTAACTTACATTATGACGTCGTCTTATCGCTATTTTTACAAGATTTTTTTTCATAAGAAATCCAAAACTGTTTAAGAGCGTTTGTAGACGTCCGTTTTTTTCACCGGATAACGGACCGTGTTTTTTGCCGGATTCGCGGTGGTGTATGAATGTGTGTACATGCACCGGACATCGGTCTGGCGAACAATTTGTACGGTGCATGTACACACATTCATTATAATTCATACACCACCGCGAATCCGGCAAAAAACACGGTCCGTTATCCGGTGAAAAAAACGGACGTCTACAAGCGCTCTAAGGGTATATCCGGAACGAAGTCTAAAGAATAAAGTTACGTACGTTGGCGAGCCACTCCTGCTTGAGTTTGGCGCGCTGCTTCATCTCGGCGATGCGCTGCTGCCTAATGGCTTCGATGTCGCTGCTGTCCAGGGCATCTAGCCTGGAATATAGCAACAATGACACTGAAACTTTGCCTATTTCGTTCGTTCGTTTCAGCCAAATGACGTCCACTGCTGGACAAAGGCCTCCACCAAGGTTTTCCACAATGAACGGTAGCCTATGTTCAGCAGTGGACGTCCTATGCCTGAAATTATGATGAAAGGTGTAGGGACTTGTAGTGAAAATTAAATTTACCTTTCAATTTCGCTGTCCAGCTGTTTCTCCACCGTCTGGGCCACATGGTGTAGCATCTGATCCATATTTAATTCTTTTCAGTTCTGAAATTAGTTTTTAATTTTGATCAAATTGAGGCAAATAGGCAAAGTATATCTTTATTTTTGACGTACGTATAAAACTTAGTATATCTTTATTTTTGAACAATATTAGCAACATACAGCTACATTAAATAAATCATGAATATTGTTTTTTGGTCCTACTTATTATTTTTTATGACTAATCTTTTCTGTCGATTGGTGTAACGTCGCAGTACCATCTTAAATTTATCTTAATTATTTACTTACAACAGCAGACAAGCTATTTCATTCATAAAAGGCAGCAAAAACATATTTTCTGTCCAAATATTATTCACTCTCCCACACAAAAATGGGCACAAATGCGTAGTGACCTCATCGACCAACATGGTCACGAAATTACAATTTACATAAAAACAGACCTCTGTTCTCAAGATGCGACGACTGGGACTCCTGCAAGATAGCTTAAATTACACAATACACACCTTTTTATGTTCAAAATATTGTCCAATAATTAAATAAATTAATTTTAATTCACGAAACAAAAGCACCGCTATTTGTTTCGCAAAAAAGACAGTGACGTTTTGTTTTTTAAAAGTTTTACAGGCATGACACGACATAATCATAAGGCCAGCGGATTTTTTGAAGAGTAAAAACTAAAAAAAATTGACAGCCTTGCCTTGGTATCACGTACAAAAAAAGTAAATTGTCAGCCAAGCCAGCCGATCAGCTGTCAGTCGTCTTTGACAGCTGTTTGGTCGAAGTCGTAATTCCGCGCAGTGTTTTTCTAATTTTATTCAAAGAAAATTCGACATAACATTATTTCGTAACCCGTTTACAAGTTGAACAGTGATTTGTTTTCATATTAGTGTCGTGTGTGCTTCGGAAATAAAATTGGCTGTGATTTTTAAAACTATCGAAATCGCGGTGGCCGAAAAACTTCTTTAGAAGTGAGTATTCGTGTTAGAAAATAAATAAACAAGGACTTCCTATTAATAGACTGCGTAGAATCTATGTGGTCTATAATCGGTGTATGGAAACCTAGTTCAAGGTCGATCTTCAGACTTTGAACCAAGTTTTGCACTTTGGTATGGGAGCAGTCATTTGTAAAATTAAACAAGTTCCAATCAAAAACTCCTTAATTTTCAATTTGTATAGGTTATATCAACATATATAACTGTAGAGAGGTTATATAAATTATATTTGCTCAGTAGGTAATCCCTCATTTCAGTTTTGTCACTCCTTATCATTCAATTATCATCATTACACAGTTCTATTGCCAGAAAGATTAAGTTTGTATGAACATGGAATTGTGCCAGAAACGTGTTGGTGGAGAATTATTGAATTATATAATTTTTTTGGCCTATAACATCAGCAAAAAATGAATGTAATAAATGTAGGAACTGCTAGAAAGTAAAGGAGTACCTACCTATTTCACTGTTATCTTTTAAAGTTACTATATTTCAATGATTTAATAATAAAATAAGTAAGTAAATTAATAATTTAAAAGTTTGAATAAATACAAAAAGTAAAAACTAATGAAATTATATCTTGTTTTTTTCCCTTTTTATATCTGCAATCGACTTAGGTCATAATCAGATGTTTTGTCTTGCTTTAAAAATTATATCTTAACAAAAAATGTATTACTATTATTTCGTAATTAAATAGCCTAAAGTTTAAATTACTTACTATAAAATATTGGGCCCATTGTCATCATAAATATTACTTCTGACGGGCCCATCCATAGCTACATTACATTTTCTAGGAAATGGTATGAACACAAAATTTTAACTGCCCAAAAAAGCTTATTATCATTCATGATGATGATGTTACAACTTTAAGAAAGACATAATAATGGTGTACTTGAAGTTAATTTATTTTCATGACTTCCTGAAAATACAATTTCGAATTGACATTTAAATATATCATTGTAATGTTAATATTCTAAAACTGTATGCTAAGCAGGTTTTTCAAGTACAATATAACTCAACTTACAAACGATTTAACTATGTTAATTTATGAAAAATTAATTTTCTATTTCAATTAATAATCATTTATTTATGCAAATGTTTTAAAACCTCATACAATTTCTATAAAAACATACTTACTAATGTATATCTAACTAGCTTTTGCCCGCGGCTTCACCCGCGTGAAATTTAGTTTGTCACAGATCGTCATAAATTATAGCCTCTGGGTTATACACAATAATACTGTAAACTTTCATCAAAATCCGTTCAGTAGTTTTTGCGTGAAAGAGTAACAAATATCCAGACATCCATAATGTACAAACTTTTACATTTATAATATTAGTAGGATATTGGTACTAGGATAATATTAGTAGGATGAAATAAATTGTTTCAGAAGCAAATGCTTTTATTTTAGTAGTGTTTTATTATTATGTTGAAGCTCTAATGCCCGTTTTCACCATCAATCCCTGCTTTTTGTGACCCTTTATGAAAACAAAATTCCTTTGTGTTACCATAGGGGTTACTTAAAAATTAGGGATTGATGGTGAAAAGGGCATAAGTGTGTTGTATTTACTCCACACAGCAACAACATTCAAAAGGCTACCTTGCTACTTGTTCTCGACATACATACATAATAATTAAGTGTGAGGTCAGCACTTTACTTAATAATGCAATTTATGCAATACATCTTTTGACTTTGAGTGGTCAATGAAACTGTTACTTATGTCAGTGTGTTAAGTTTAAAATTCATTAGTCTTAAGTATAGTCTAGCTAGTGTTACCAGATTTATTAGTGACTCCTTCAAAGTTGTATAAAACCAGTGTTTTAAACATTATTATTTTCATTGTTAAATTGATTGTATGTAATTCGAAATGAAAAAAAAATAAATAAGGTCTTTTATTTTATTTTTATTTTATTTTATTCAGAACAACAAACAATTACATAATATAGCTTATACCAGGTCTTGGTGAAAACTGGGAGTTAATAGGTAGTTGACGAGCTATGTTCGTTCGCGAGCTGAATATTCTGCGTTCGGTGACATTCGCCGAATTACGGTCACCGTGATTGAATGTTCGTAAATAAATAAGTAGTAGCGATAGCGAATACCACTACAGCCCGTCTGCATAAAATTACATCTATGACAGTTTTACTTTCGAAATCGCTACCTCTACCAAATTGACTTCAAAAACACCGGAGCGAAACGATTTCGCACAAATGTCACGTTTGTAACTTTGTCTAGGGCAGGGTTTCCCAAACTAGGGGTCGCGACCCAGTGGTGGGTCGCGAGCGAACATTGAGTGGGCCCTGCCTGTAGAACTACACACCACCCTACCCATCCAGCCGCTGGGCAGCGGGCTAAATTTCTTATAGGTGGGTCCCGAGTTTGGAAACTTCTAGATGAGTCGTAGACTAGATAACTTTGGGAACCACTGGTCTAGGGAGCTGTAAGCAGAAGACGAAGCTGTGTATAAATAATCGTACGAACGACAACTCACGGTGGTTTCAATAATGTTTGCGATAAAAACGGAAATCCTTAAATGCCGCGTATCTATCTTTGTAAACAAGTACCGAACGCGCCGGACCGCGGGCAAGGTCTAATAATTCTTATTACTGGATTGATAAGGCTTAAAGTGATAAGAAGTTTATAATAATGCTATTGTCAAACGCACAATAATACTTACCAAATAATAGTCAATATTTGTCACTGTTCTTAACAATAGTAATAGTGTTTGTCGGCCGTTTGGTGTACTGGTTCGGAACGGACTACTATTCCGAGAGGTCCCGGATTCGATTCCCGGCCGGGCAGAAATTGAAATGATGAATTTTAAGTTCTGTGATGGGGCTGGGTGTTACTATGTTTAATATGGTATTTACAAAAAAAAAAGTATTTAAGTATGTTTATATCCGTTGTCTAGTACCTACCCATAGTAGGTACAAGCTTAGTTTGACGGGAGTTATGGGACTATTCCCACCTCCCGTTTCCATAGCTGCAACTCCTTTATAGCCAAGATCGACAGCTTGCAAAGTTTCAAACTGCGGACTACAGATTGTTAGTAGCCGGCCGATAGTTAGGTCGTCCCAATTTGTCAGCCGATACCAAATCGGTGTAATGTGCGCACTTTCATACACGTTGAACTGATTTGAAAGCCCGATCGAGCGGCGGTGGGATTCAAACCCGCGTTCCTCGGATCTCGAGTCGGCCAGTCCTACCACTTCACCGTTGGGCTATCGTGGCTATAAATAAGTTTTATGAGTTTTGCTCTGCTCCGCTTCACTCTGCCTTGGAAACTGGGCCTCATGAAGTGTTGTGTCAGCATGGGTATCTTTGTTCTTTATGCTTTTCTCTTCTCTAATCTATGTTGTGTCCCCAGGCGGCGCGGCATGTGAGCGATGGCGGTGGGCGAGGCGCGCGTGCCGTTGCTGCACGGCGACCCGGCGCCGGCGCACCATGGTCAGTACCAGGAATAACCATCACTTCCATCCCCATCACTTAGATCTGGGGGCACGGCAGTGCCCCCGCCAAGTCGAGCGCGAAGCAAACACTGCCGTACCATCTTTACTGGAACCATTTCGCCGCATTTTCAGGCCCCTATTTGAGAACCTCTGGATAAGACCAGAACGCAGAAATTTTCGTCATATAGTAAGCTATAATCACATACTTAAAATCCAAAATTTCAAGTCTGTAGGTCATTTAGTTCCGAAGTTAAGCGAAAGCAAAGTTTCGCATTTATGACACTCACTCACTCACTCACTGATGATCATCAAAATAGAACTAGTACTTCCCATAAACTCAGAGAGCTGAAATTTGGTACAGAGTTAGGGTTTAATGGCCACATAAAGGATCCCACCAAAAACATTCTGTAAAAAATTAGCCAAGTCTCGATGGAGCTGCCTGTTTATCTCTAAAAAGTAATGAAATCTAGACAAAGTCGTGCCAAGTCTATGGTTCCTTACTGCGATTTCTTTATTATTATATTTAATGTTGTGTGACTTGGCCGTTGAACAATCTTTATTAAGATAATCATACATAAGTATTATTGAAATACGCAGCTTTATTAAGCCTACAATTGACTGGTTATTGCATCAACGTTTTCCAAGTGCAATTTATTTTCCATCGTCAATGGGTAGCGGATTTGGCGACAGATTGGTGCAATGGTGTCATGGAGCATCTGGTTTGGTACCCTTCAACGGCCAAGTCACACAACATTAAATATAATAATAAAGAAATCGCAGTAAGGAACCATAGACTTGGCACGACTTTGTCTAGATTTCATTACTTTTTAGAGATAAACAGGCAGCTCCATCGAGACTTGGCTAATTTTTTACAGAATGTTTTTGGTGGGATAAAGTTTTTCTGTGACAGACAAAAGTCCACGCGGGCGAAGCCGCGGGCGGAAAGCTAGTCCTATAATAATTAAAATTAATAAACTAAAACTGCGTCGCGTCCAAATAAATAAAACGGTCCCAAATAATCTTGAACTTCCCCCTAATGTTCGAGATAGCACGCGGTCACAATAAGGTCGCGGTCGCTGTTTTAGGGAAAACCTAATGTTTGATAACTGTTATCAGGTCCCAATTGAATTACCTATATATAAAAGCTATTTAAATTATTTATAAAGTTATTCGGGAGTCTATTACAGTTAAAATAGTAAGACACGGGTCTTAACGCGACGTTTATGAATGAGTTACATTATGTACTCACGGCTTGACGTTTCGGCTGCGAAAAATCGACAGACGCAACGGCAAATCCGCCGTGGCTGGACACCTACTGGAAACAGGAGTTAATCACGGAGTTACACTGTGGTTACACAGTCCAAAAATCCTCTCCACTGATCGGCATTATCACACTTCTTCTTCTTTTCGTGCCGACAACAAACCTACACAGTGTCAGCCCAAAACTCCGCCACAAGAGTGGCGTTGTCAGTAGCACTCATCAAATCCTCCTGAGTGCAGTTGCTTGGGCATTCAGGGCATGACATCAGTGTACCTACCATGAGTTTACGTTAGGTGTGCTCGCTAGCGAATACGTCAAAAATCTCTATGAAGATTTTGTTTCTTGAAAGTAGCCGCTAGGGGCGCTTCACAATATGTCATACAATTAAATGTCATTTTTTTACGCAGTCGCTAGCGAGCACTCCTAACGTAAACTCATGGTAAGCACACAGGTGCTTCATCGACTGGGGAACAAAACCGCACCTGCACTCCATGCTCAAGCCATCCAAGAATAGTTGGAGGATCCAACACTAGGATAGTTCGAGAAGCGGCTGAAATCAAGAAACATAAAAATTTCAATCGGGAGGACGGATTTAAATTGTCACCAGTGTGGAATCCGGTGATTAATAAATGCAAACCGCGAATTTTGCCGTCAAGTACGAATACGGATACTGTGAGTGTTGTGTGTCGTGGTAACATCACTAGTGGCAGTGTAACGAATGACAATATGAGGGTAGTTGAAAATCTTCAAGCCCGCCCGAACGGACGACGCCGCGAACCGCCAGTCTGCTTGTGACCACGGCTGCAACATCGCAGCCGAAACGTCAAGCCGTAAGTACATAATGTAAATCATTGATAAACGTCGCGTTAAGACCCGGGTCTTACTATTTTAATCGTAATAAGACTGCGAAAGAGGATAGACCGACATGTCTGCCCATAGCATCTGACCCGCGAGTTTCCTCAGTTACTCCGTGACCATGGCGCTGGCAACAGTGCCGAAATATCGGAAACACAAAATTAAACATGCAGGCCTGGCTCACTCCGCGCGGTACATCCGATAATTACCTACAGCGAAGCGCCCAGCCGGCGGGTTTTATTATATCAGTCGAGTGTCACGCGCGCGCCCATCAGGACGCTGGCGTGCGTTGTAGTACCTAATTCTATGATCGAAGTATTATTACAAAATGGACATAAAGAGAAAGAAATATTATTGTGCGGCGTTCGGGTGTTTAAATTCGAAAATAAATCTACCGTATTTATCTTTTTTTTCGCTTCCCAAAGATGCTGAAAGGTATGTTGGCCATGTAGGTAATCAATAATTCTTAGGATAGTATAGGAACCTAACCTACCATGACTACTGCTCAGAATGCGTTCGTTCGTTTCAGCCAAAAATGACGTCCACTGCTGGACAAAGGCCTCTCCCAAGGTTTTCCATAATCAATGCGTACTTACCTACATACGTACCTCATTATTTACTAGACACTACTAGACAGCAACCTTAACAGCGTAAGAAGAGTTCAGAGGCACGCGATAGAAAGAGACAAAACTTGTAGGTGAATAAAATTGTAGGTACTTAGTGCTGTGCGAGCTGAATTCCACTGTATCGCGTCGTAGCAAGACTCGCATTTATTTAAATCGTCTTGCGGAGTAATCCTTCTGTACCTGTACTATTACTTAATCTGTGGTACATGGTAGCAATCCCGTCAGGAATAATAATTATTACAGTGCTTGATGTATTACTTAGACTAGGCGCAGACCACCGATTTTTAGTTGGCCGATAGTTGGACCCGATTTTAATTTGTATGAAGAATCGGCCAAATCGAATCGGCGTAATGTGCGCACTTCCATACATGCCCATACCACAGAATAAGTAATAGTACAGGTACAGAAGACGATTTAAATAAATGCGAGACTTGCTGCGACGCGATACAGTGGAATTCAGCTCGCACAGCACTACGTACCTACAATTTTATTCACCTACAAGTTTTGTCTCTTTCTAACACGTGCCTCTGAACTCTTCTTACGCTGTTAGGGTTGCTGTCTAGTGAAAAAAATAATTAATCTACTTATATGTCATGAGGTACGTACCTCATGACACGTATGTATGTAAGTACGCATTCATTATGGAAAACCTTGGGAGAGGCCTTTGCCCAGCAGTGGACGTCATTTGGCTGAAACAAACGAACGCATTCTGAGCAGTAGTCATGGTAGGTTAGGTTCCTATACTATCCTAAGAATTATTGATTACCTACATGGCCAACATACCTTTCAGCATCTTTGGGAAGCGAAAATAAAGATAAATCCGGTAGATTTCTTTTCGAATTTAAACACCCGAACGCCGCACAATATTTCTTTCTCTTTATGTCCATTTTGTAATAATACCTACTTCGATCATAGAATTAGGTACTACAACGCACGCCAGCGTCCTGACGGGCGCGCGCGTGACACTCGACTGATATAATGGCAGTCCCAGGGGCGTTACAGGTGCGTTGCCGGCCTTTAAGGTGAAGATACGCTCTATATACTGAAATAATTCGAACAAGGCTTGCGTCTAGGGACGACTATCAAATGTCACAGCGTCAATGAACCGTTTCTTTCCCAAACGGTCTTTCCCAAAGTGGGCGATAACGCCCCCTTGTGAGCGCTGCAGGCTTAAAGGGGGGCGGTAAGAGACCCAGAAAAAAAAATCGGGACGTTGTGTAGAGGCTTGGGAGGCGTCATTTACTAGGAGGATTCTTAGACACCGACTGAGCACTCGACACTCGACTACAAATGGGGGCGCTAAAAAGAATTTATTCTCAAAGTGGGCAGTAGACAAAATTAGTTTGGGAACCGCTGACTTAGATGGTTGGCAGTCCACAACAGTACGTTTCTCTAAAAACTTCCTGCCCCGTACAACCAAACTGTGGAATGGACTGTCGTCTGCGGTGTTTCCGGACGGATATGACCTGCAAGCTTTCAAGAGGAGAGCGTATCTTCACCTTAAAGGCCGGCAACGCACCTGTAACGCCCCTGGGTCTGCGGGTGTCTATGGGTGACGGTAATCACTTACCATCAGGTGATCCGTCTGCTCGTTTGCCTCCTGTTACATAAAAAAACCACCTCTTTTAGCGACGCCGCGCACTAGGCTGCCAATCCAGTATATTATGAACACTCTTGGCTGCCTAGTGCACGAGAGACCATATCCACCACTTCAACTCCTGTTTAGTTACGATAGTTTGGCCTCCAAAGAAACTAACTGTCTCAGAGCAGTTGGAACCCTCGAAAAATTCGGTCTCGGTCAGCACAGCTCAAGTGGAAACGGCTTATAAAATGAAAAACTGAAATTAGCGCACTTTGCCGATTTTATTTGTAAAGATCACTTACAGATACACGTCATTTGGTGCATCCGCCTGACGTAATATTACAGCGTTTGTAGTAAACAAACGTTACGTGACATTACAATTTACACATCCACCATCATATCATTGACCTTTATGAGTATAGTAAATATTAGTGATGCAACGAATATTACTTTGACGAATACGAATACGAATCAAAATCAAAAATATTTATTCAGTTTAGAGACCACAAGTGGCACTTATGAACGTCAAAATATAGTAAATAATAAAAAAGAAAAGGTAGCCCTTATGAGGCACTTTAGATTTCTCCTTATCTTTTGGGCCCTACCAGCGCGGCGCTTCGAGACAAACATATGGCAAATGCTGAGAAGAAACGCCGGAACAAACTCAGTATTAAATCTACTATTCGGCGAATACGAATACGAATATCTCTACATAGTCATGAAACACTCATTTTAACTATTTTTATCATGGTTAATGTTTTAGTAATTAAAATTTACAAATGGCAAACTAATCACAAAAAAAAAACTTGTACAATCGACCTGCTATTGTCTGTCAAATTCCGGAAGAGACTTGCTTACTAAAGCCTAGTCCGTGAGCACGTAGAATTTTGTCCAATGACCCCAAGCTACCCATCCTTATCGCTCGCGCGTAATTATGTTGCTTTCGCGCTCGCACACTCACTGCGGGCGCCCGTCGCACAGTCAGACCAAGCTTTACTTTGTTACATACTGACCGGGGGTTTCCCGTCATGTCGTTGTGGCTAGTGTTCGAAGACACACACGTGTGTGACAAAATTTAAAAAAGTAGGTATTCGTAAATATTCTTAATTATTATTTCAGCGAATACGAATATTCATATTCGCATACGTTGCATCACTAGTAAATATGTATTCGCTTGTTTGTATCACATTTCTTATTTATCGAGGGTGTGGCTAAACGTCACACGTCGTTTTGGTAAACAAAATCATATAATATTTCCATTAAGTGACTAAAAGACTTGAAAAATACGTAATAATTACTCCAAAATCCGAATAAGAGCATCGAAAAGTACGGAAAAGTAATCAACATCAGTGTTAATAAAGTATCGGGAAGGTTTGAACACGATTGAGTTGATAAAATGGAGATATATGAAGTGTATAAGACGGGGGATATCCCCTGGGATTCTGTGAACAAGGAGGCTCACAATAGAAAAGGTAAGATACTACCATTATCAACCCTAACTTCGAACTCCTCCTATGTTCTTCTGATCAATTTCGTTGCGAATGCAATGACAGTTTAACTTTCCCCCGGGACAAACTTGACCCTCACTGGTTGTGTTATTGGCGGTCAAGCTGTAGATCCTGGCTTCACAGGAGTTGCAGCGGTGGGAAAGAGAGGTGGGAATAGTCCCGTTTTAGTTTTGCCACTTAATTCATTTTTTCATGAAATGAAACGACGAGCACCTTGAAATGAAAACAATTAACGAGGAAATTCGGAGTCTAGCAGCTAAGTACAAAGAGCGGTTAATCCATCATCCTAACGAACTTGTACCTATCGTTGGTGTACCTAATAAATAAAATAATAAAAAAACTTGCTCGCCAACTTACCATGGACCAGTATGTGAGACGACTGAAACGTCATCATATCCTAGAGCAGTCTTTCCCAAAGTGGGCGATAACGCCCCCTTGTGGGCGCTGCAGGCTTAGAGGAGGGCGGTAAGAGACCCAGAAAAAAAAATCAGGACGTTATGTAGAGGCTTGGGAGGCGTCATTTACTAGGAGGACTCTTAGATACCAACTGAGCACTCGACACTCGACTACAAATGGGGGCGCTAAAAAGAATTTATTCTCAAAGTGGGCAGTAGACAAAATAAGTTTGGGAACCGCTGTCCTAGAGCTAAAGGACCGCCAGTAGCTCTGGGCGGCAGATGAGTTGATGCAGATGGAAGCCACTCCGCATGACAGCATCACAGAACAGATTTGCTCATAGTCTTGGGACTGATTGCAAATGAACACAGCAAACAAAAAAAAATCATTTTTTCTCAGCAAGTCCGGATTCGGCAAGGCAGGAATGCTTGTCACTATCATTAATCACTTAATCCTTCAAGGCCCGCGAATCTAGACACAATAGATAATCAATTGTTATGACATTAATTAATGCCGTCTGGGACTCAAGCGGTTAACATCTAAGTGAGCGAAACTGACGCCATAGTCAGGTGATTGCCCGACCTTATAATATTTGGCAGCGGACTCTGAAATGTTAGAATTTTGACAGATCTATTAATTGTTTATCTATTTATAATCGACGCGTTCGTATAGAGTTAGCGACTATTCCATGACGTTGCACTGCTTATACAACGATCTCTTCGATCGATTTTAGACCAGGCTGACTGAGACCTCTTCTGGGGTAATTTATATGCCTCACCACTTCGGGAATACATATCGGCTGCTTATAGGTTCGGCCAAATCAACGCGTTCAGCCGCGTCCGCGATAGCGTGCGGTGTCGATCACTGCGTTTGCAAAAGCTGTTCACACTGCCGCGTTCGCGTTCCAGATGTTTACCATGAAAAATGTAAACGTTTGGAACGACATTTTAAAATCAGTCGTCAAAATCTGATCGCCACCGCCGCATGCAGACGCTGCATCGGACGCCAGCCAATGACAGGACACATTTTTTTTATTTTCTTTTTTATCCTCTACGAGGAAGCTCTTGGCCTGTATCTCACCTGATGGTAAGTGATGATCAGGCCGGAGATGGAAGCGAGCTTCACCCGGAAACGTCAACCACGGAGGAACTGGCTATCTTACCTCTAACTGCCGGAACACAACAATGCTAACAGCAACATTATATGTTATGACGACAGACCAATTTGAACTCATTGCTACAATTTCGTACTTAGCATCGCGGACGCAGACTGAACGCCTTGGTTCGGCCGAAGTTACGCATACCTTTGATAGGTATATTCCACTTTGATCACCTGGCTTTGATCATCCAGGTAATCAAAGTGGAATAGACCTTTTGATACTTAAACCGACGCGGACGACATGTAATTCGCAGGTTTTCTGTACTTATCACACGGCAACTACAATAACAACCGATCAAGTCTTCCAGATATGTCGCTGATAAGTTATCAGCCTCAACAAGTATTAACCAATCGTGCTATCTGTTACGAAATGGTTATCATTAGCCTTTGTACTTGAAGATAAGACCAGTGGTTAGAGTTCGACTCGGTCCTGGGGTCTATTCCCAGGTAGGGCAGCCCAATGCTGGATTTAAGCAGTGGTAGGGTTCATTCGTTTCAGCCGAATGACTTCCACTGCTAGGCTTCCCCTAAGGATTTCCACAAAGACCGGTCCTGCGCCTCCTGCATCCAGGCACCTCCCACGACCTTCACCATATCGTCGGTCCACCTAGTAGGAGGCCTGCCCACACTGCGTCTTCCGGCTCGTGGTCGCAAATCGAGAACTTATCTGTCCCAGCGGCCATCAGTTCTGCGAGCTATGTGCCCCGCCCACTGCTAATTGATTTTAGCGATTCTGCGAGCTAAGCAGTAAGCACGATGAACTGTAGTTTTCGTATAGTTGCTGCCAGATATCTCTTTGGGGTCGTCGGTCCATCGAGCAGTGGGCATATTAATAGCAAAGAAATACAAACCTCTATCTACAGTGTAAGACCGGTTAAGAAATCCTTGGGGGAAGCCTTAGTCCAGCAGTGGACGTCATTTGGCTGAAACAAAATGGCGGACTTGACCTACACTTTCTCTAATCTTTACTATAAACATTTTTGATGTAGATAAATAAATTAGTATATCTTATGTAAAAAACAACGCAAAAATGAGAAAAATATGACTATAACTAATCTAATTAATTTTATCTTTATTATGACTTGACAAAAAAAAATTCTCAATGGGTACTCCAAAAAACTTCGAATCTCGATTGATTTTGAATCTTAACATTGAAATATCAAAATCCATTGGACCAATATTTTTCTTGTCGTACGTTCTTGGCGACAATACATACATTATAGATGGACCTTAGTTATCATTGAGTTTATCATTCATCATTGTTATCAGTTTTAAGCACGTTGTTTACCTACTTATTTTAATACGATGACACCCACGTTATTTATACGATGACACTTGATAGGCTTACATACAACACACTTATGCGGGCCGGCAGTGTCACCTCGTCCATAGTCTGGTCTGTGAGCACGTAGAATTTTGTCCAATGACCCCAAGCTACCCATCCTTATCGCTCGCGCGTAATTAGTATGTTGCTGTCGCCCGTCGCACAGTCGCGTCGCGATAGCAATATAATAACGCGCGGAGTCATTGAACGAAATACTACGTGATCGGCGACCGGACTATAGATGTTGTGTTGTGTGTCACTTAACATCAGGTGTGATTGCGGCCAAATACCTGCCTTGTTCTGCATAAAAACAGGATTAGCTAACAGAAGTGGCAACGGGCAGGGCACTTAGCACGTAGGACTGACGAGCGATGGAGCAGCAAGGTTCTGACATGGAGGCCACGTACCGGCAAGCGCCGCGTGGGACGTCCACTCACAAGGTGAATTATTGGGAGAAGCTTATGTTCAGCAGTGACAGGAGGCAAACGAGCAGAGGGATCACCTGATGGTAAGTGATTACCGTCGCCCATAGACACCCGCAGTCCCAGGGGCATCGGCCTTTAAGGTGAAGATACGCTCTCTTCTTGAAAGCTTGCAGGTCGTATCCTGTAGCTAAAATGATGATGATGATGCAATAAATTTTTCAAGCTTCTTATAAATTGAATGTATTTCCGTTACAGAGAAGGTAACGGACCACCGCAGCTTGAGCGCGGGCGCGACGGTGGTGACGTCACTGGTGGCAGGCGCGTCCGCCGGAGCGCTAGCCAAGACCACCATCGCGCCGCTCGACCGCACCAAGATCAACTTCCAGACCTCGTGAGTACAATATATTACTACTTTAATCTAGATCTATACTTTAATCTAGATAACTACACTAAAGTCCGGTCGCCGAGCAGATATAATTTCGTCCAATGACCCCAAGCTACCCACCCTTATCGCTTGCGCGTAATTATATTGCTGTCGCGACTGTGCGACGGGCGGCCGCAGTGAGAGTGCGAGAGATGGAGCGCTGTTTCTCGTCTGCTACGGCAGATTGACGTGCTACGAAGCGCGCGCGTACTACGGTAAATAAAATATGTGCTACAAAATGAGCGTGTGCTATGGCAAATTGATGTGCTACAAAATGAGCGTGTGGTATGGCAAATTGATGTGCTACAAACCAAACGTCTGCTACGGCAGTTTTATGCTCCAAGTCTTTTGTCTGCTACGGTGGTTTGAAGTGCTACGAAACGAAGCGAGCGTGCGCTCCGTTTGTTCAGAGAAGCTAACGGACTTCCAGATCTCGTGACTACAATGTATTGATACTTTAATCTAGATAACTACTATAGAAGGGGCAGTGGGCGGGGCACATAGATCGCTGATGGCCGATGGGGCAGAAAAGTTCTCGAGTGGTTTACCACAGGCTGGAAGACGTAGTGTGTGGGAAGGCTCCCACTAGGTGGACCGGCGATCTGGTGAAAGTCGCGGGAGGTGCCTGGATGCGGGCGGCGCAGGACCGGTCGTTGTGGAAATCCTTGGGGGAGGCCTTTGTTCAGCAGTGGACGTCATTTGGCTGAAATGAACAAACTACTCTAGTCTGTAGATCGAGCGCTATGTTTTTCGTCTGCTACGGCAGCGCAGAAGCGTGTGCTACGGCATAATAGCTACAAAATGATTGATGTACTACAAAACCAGTGTGAGCTACGGCAGGAGATGTCATTATGTGTCGAGCGAGCGTATGCTACGGCAGATGAGGTGCTACGACATGCTACGAAAGCAGCGTGTGCTACGGCAGCGCAGAAGATGTGCTACGAAACGAGCGTGTGCTACGCGAGCTACGGCATAATAGCTACAAAATGATTGATGTACTACAAAACTAGTGTGAGCTACGGCAGGAGATGTCACTGTGTGAAACGAGCGTATGCTATGGCAGTTGATGTGCTACGGAACCAGCGTGGGCTACGGCAGATGATGTGCTACGAAACCAGCGTGTGCTACGGCAGTTGATGTGCTACGAAACCAGCGTGTGCTACAGCAGTTGATGTGCTACGAAACCAGCGTGTGCTACGGCAGTTGATGTGCTACGAAACCAGCGTGTGCTATAGCAGTTGATGTGCTACGAAACCAGCGTGTGCTACAGCAGTTGATGTGCTACGAAACCAGCGTGTGCTACGGAACCAGCGTGGGCTACGGCAGATAATGTGCTATGAAACCAGCGTGTGCTACGGCAGATGATGTGCTATGAAACCAGCGTGTGCTACGGCAGTTTTATTCAAATTCAATAATTTATTTACTAGAATACATATCACTCATGCTCGTTTTACAAAGCAGATTGTACAGCTATTAAATTATTCCCATGTATTCAGCCTGCAAGTTCTTATGTGCTCTACGTCTACTAAGGCAGTTTTAGTGCTACAAAATGAGCGTGCGCTACCTCTTTTATCTGCTACGACGGTTTTAAGTGCTACGAAACAAGTTCTACATCTAAATAAGTTTTGACGACGAAATCTTTGTTCGCAGCCAAACCCCGTACTCATGGCGAGCCGCTGTGAGCTTCCTACTGCACAGCGCTCGCACAGAAGGCATAATAGCGCTATGGCGCGGCAACAGCGCGACGATGGCGCGCATAGTGCCCTACGCAGCCATACAGTTCACAGCGCACGAGCAGTGGAAGCGAGTGCTTGGTGTGGACACGCCACAAGCTGCGCAGTAAGTGCTACCTCGTTATGAATGTAAAAAAAAGCACTATATCTCTCACCTAGGGTTGCCAGGCGTCCGGCTTTAGCCGGACATGTTTGGCTTTTTAGGGTCTTGTCCGGCCAAATATTGCCTTGTCCGGCCTGTCCGGCTTTTGTTAGGCTTTCCAGGCGAAAGTCAAGCCACAGAATCATATGAAGTGCACGCATCAGGATGTTGGTTAGCAAGTAGCAACCGATGATGATAGTACTCACTTATGAGCTGACACTAATTGCCCCCCCCCCCCCCCGTCACATGTCCGGCTTTTAGGGTAAAATGTCCGGCCAAATAAAACACAAAGTCCGGCTTTTGTGATTTTGGACCTGGCAACACTACTCTCACCATCTCCATTTCCGTCTTTTTCTCTACCTCCATTTCCACCTCTCTTTTCTTTCTATCTTGTCTTCATCTTCGTTGCCGTCTTCATAGTCCCCATTGCCATACTAAATCTATGGGGAAGTTGCATTGTGACAGCTCAAAAAGTGACAGTTGACGGTTACCTACTACTTTACTATTGCATTATAGTTCCAAAATACTGAACTATCCTATCCATGACATTGACAGCGGGGCGCCACCGTCAATACCGGATCGCTGGTTCCGATTTTTGCCATGTTGGAAACCATATAGTTGAACGATGGTAGCGCCCCCCTGTCATTGAGTTTGGTGGGACAGTTCAGCGTGGGTCAACTATAGATTTGACAACGTTACTTCCAGCATGACGTCACAGAGCACCCTCTAGACATAGCATCAGCAGGACCCCATCACCCTGACTCCCAAGAGGCAATAGTTTTTTGTGAGGTTTTTAGTTTACCTGAAGGACGGTTATTAAAAAAATGCTTGTATTCTCTGTACGCAGACACCACCGCATCAAGCACTTAATAGCTGGGTCGCTAGCGGGCGTGACGTCACAGAGCCTGACGTACCCGTTGGACATGGCGCGTGCTCGCATGGCCGTCACCAACGCTCAGGAATACCGCACACTGGCAGCCGTGTTCCGGCGCGTGGCCTCCGAGGAAGGACCGAGGGCGCTGTACCGGTGAGTGAGACAGGAGATCAAGAAAGAGAGAAAAGGAAAACTGTTTAGTGTGACTTTTAGAGAGCGACGAGCCCAATGGTGTCAAGAGTCTCGACTCTTCGACCCTCGGGTCGGTAGTTCGAATCCCGGCAAGGACTTGGACTTTGGGCCTTTTGAGGTGAGTGAAGCCTGACTTCCACCGAACCGAAGAGGAGAGGAGATGGAGGAAGTGTTTTGAATAACCTCAGATTTCGTCACGTCACTGGATCTAGCAGTGTGGAGAAATGCCTTATTTTTATAATGTGGTGGAGCGGAGATGTGGAGTCGAATAACTAAGAGGCTCTGTCCCAGTGAGTAAGGAAGGAGAAGAACTTTAAGCGTGGATTTAGAATGCTACTCAAACTCACTTTTGAGCCTAACGGTGTCACGATGGATCCAGTAGGCCTAAGATGCGCGCCGTGATAACTTATATCGACGTCAAAATGTATGGAAAAAATCGATAAAATGGCGGGATAACCGCTTATAGCGGCGCGCATCTTAGGCCTACAGGTTCTTTCACCACCTGACCAGTTCGGGTGTCAAGCACCGCGTCAAGTGCCTAGTAGCGGGCTCGCTAGCGGGCGTGACGATAAAAAAAAAGCCTCCCGTAATTATTTCTAGATTGACCGCGGTTGGCAGCAGTTGCAATTGCAACTTGCCTTTAGTAAATTAGTGCTCCTGTAGTCGAGACTGTATGACCTTAACATGATGATATTGATGTTTTATATTAATTGTATTGTGTTTGTTGCAGCGGCTACCCCGCCACGGTGCTCGGAGTGATTCCCTACGCGGGCGTGTCCTTCTACACTTATGACACGCTCAAGCACATGTATTTTGGTGAGTGTCTCTCTCTCTCTCTCACTTAAATAGATTGATGCAAACAAAATTCCCATTATGTGTAACCATAGGGGTCACTTAAAAATTAGGGATTGATGGTGAACGCGGGCATCAGTCACCTTTGTCAGCATTATTTTCATTGTTTGTCCCAAGAAAGTTTGTGCCACAAATACCTAGATATTTTGTTGATGTTTTTTTTTGGCCACAACGAGGAAGCTCTTGGCCTGTATCTCTCTCACTCACCTGATGGTAAGTGACGATCAGGCCGAAGGTGGAAGCGAACTGCACCCGGAATCCTCAACCACGGAGGAACTGGCTATCTTACCTCTAACTGCCGGAACACAACAATGCTGTTAACATTGTTGTTATGGCGACAGACTTAGGTAAGATGGTGGTAGCTAGCCAGGCGGACTTAGAACAAGCCCTACCACCAACCAGACCGAACAGAAAAATCTGCCGCCACTGGGAATCGAAAATGTATCTATCTTTCTTTCTAATAAATGTTTCTTTCTTTTGGCCACAGATCGCTTCGGCGGCACCCGCAATCCGTTCTCGAACATGATATTCGGCGGCGCCGCGGGCGCGGTCGCGCAAACAGCGTCCTACCCTCTCGACATAGTGCGGCGCCGCATGCAAACGGCGCGGCGCCGGCCAGACGGGTCATACAACTGCCGCACCATACCAGCTACCATCGCTTACGTGTACAGGTAAGAACTGTGAGACCCACCACCACCCATGGTTCTTCCTGCCTCACGGCGTACGAACCGAATCTCGGGAGATCGCGCGGGTACTTGCTCTGGGCATCTTTCCCCGGGTGCTTTGCTTGACTCCCTACAAATTTATCTGATCCATGTCCCTTCTCATAGTCAATTCTCCCCCTTCTGGGGCTTGACACCACAAATACGGTACTTCGCGGGCTGCTATCGTTGATAAAATGTCATCACTTCTTCTCATAACTTCGCCTGATTGTGAGACTGGAACTCGCGCAGCGCGATCCAGTTACTGCGACTACTCGTGTGTTCCTGGTGATAAACAGGTCCTTGCTCGGCTCTCCGTATCGCATCCAACATTTTCTGTCGAGCTTCGTCATAGAGGTTACATTCCCAAAGTGCGTGATCGCGGCTCTCTTCGACTCCCTCGCCGCATGGGCATAGTGCAGACTCGCACAGCGTCGTACAGGTAAGAACTGTGGACCTTAGAGTCATGGGGATAGAGTCTAGTTTACTATGACGCTCGACATCATTCGGCGCCGCATGCAGACGGCGCGGCGCCGGCCTGACGGCTCCTATAATTGCCGCACTATACCCGCTACCATCGCTTATGTGTACAGGTAAGGGATTGTGAACCGTAGGGTCATGGGGATAGAGTATAGTTTGCTATGACGGCGTCGTACGCGCTTGACATAATGCGACGACTCCAATAACTGTCGCACTATACCCGCTACCATTGCTTATGTGTACAGGTAAGAACTGTGGAACTGTGGACCTTAGACTAGAGTCATGGGGATTGAGTCTAGTTTGCTTTGACGGCGTCATACGCGCTGGACTATGTCGCGACGGCTCCTACAACTGCCGCACTATACCAGCTACCATCGCTTACGTATACAGGTGAGAGATTGTGAACCGTAGGGTCATGGGGATAGAGTCTAGTTTGCTATGACGGCGTCATACCATCTCGACATAGTGCGGCGCCGCATGCAAACGGCGCGGCGCCGGCCCGACGGGTCTTATAACTGCCGCACTATACCCGCTACCATCGCTTACGTATACAGGTGAGAGATTGTGAACCGTAGGGTCATGGGGATAGAGTCTAGTTTGCTATGACGGCGTCATACCATCTCGACATAGTGCGGCGCCGCATGCAAACGGCGCGGCGCCGGCCCGACGNCAATGAAACTCCGATTCCGTGGATATCGCCCTACTCGTCGATATCTCTGATGACCTCATGCGACATGCTCAAATCAGGTCAGAGTCAAGTCAGATACAAACAGCATGTATTGCATTCGATGTAAACAAAGAAAATAGTGAGTCATCATCTTCATCGTTCCAGCCACAGGTCGTCCAATGTTGAACATGGACCTCCCCCAATGGTTTCCTTGCTGCTCCATGGGCCTTCAGTTCTGTATACTACACTCGGCACCAAATAAATCGCACCTTCCGCGACAAGCACTTATCAAACGTATGCATTCCCACTTCCCACCAACATTGGTACCATTTGAAAGCCTAGTTCTAAATTTCATTTCATTAAAGGAAAGGTTTTTACCCCAAAAATGTGTTTTTGAAAGGATCAAATCAAAANGCTACCATCGCTTACGTATACAGGTGAGAGATTGTGAACCGTAGGGTCATGGGGATAGAGTCTAGTTTGCTATGACGGCGTCATACCATCTCGACATAGTGCGGCGCCGCATGCAAACGGCGCGGCGCCGGCCCGACGGGTCTTATAACTGCCGCACTATACCCGCTACCATCGCTTACGTATACAGGTGAGGGATTGTGAACCGTAGGGTCATTGAGATAGAGTCTAGTTTGCTTTGACGGCGTCATACCATCTCGATATCGTGCGGCGCCGTATGCAGACGGCTCCTATAACTGCCGCACCATACCCGCTACCATCGCTTACGTATACAGGTGAGGGATTGTGAACCGTAAGGTCATGGGGATAGAGTCTAGTTTACTACGACGGCGTCGTACGCGCTGGACATAGTGCGACGGCTCCTACAATTGCCGCACTATACCAGCTACCATCGCTTACGTATACAGGTGAGGGATTGTGAACCGTAGGGTCATGGGGATAGAATCTAGTTTGCTATGACGGCGTCATACCCGCTGGACAAAGTGCGACGGCTCCTACAACTGTCGCACTATACCAGCTACCATCGCTTATGTATACAGGTAAGAACTGTGGACCGTAGAGTCATGGGGATTGAGTCTAGTTTGCTATGACGGCGTCGTACGCGCTGGACAAAGTGCGACGGCTCATACAACTGTCGCACTATACCAGCTACCATCGCGTATGTGTACAGGTGAGGATTGTGGACCGTAGGGTCATGGGGATAGAGTCTAGTTTGCTATGACGGCGTCATACCATCTCGATATCGTGCGGCGCCGCATGCAAACGGCGCGGCGCCGGCCATACGGGTCATACAACTGCCGCACCATACCAGCTACCATCGCTTACGTATACAGGTGAGGGATTGTGAACCGTACAGTCATTGAGATAGAGTCTAGTTCGCTTTGACGGCGTCATACCATCTCGATATCGTGCGGCGCCGTATGCAGACGGCTCCTATAACTGTCGCACTATACCAGCTACCATCGCTTACGTGTACAGGTGAGGGATTGTGAACCGTAAGGTCATGGGGATATAGTTTACTATGACGGCGTCGTACGCACTGGACATAGTGCGACGGCTCCTACAACTGTCGCACTATACCAGCTACGATCGCTTATGTGTACAGGTAAGAACTGTGGACCTTAGAGACATGGAGTTAGATTCTGGTTTTTACCTGCTACGATCGCTTATGTTTAAAGGCGAGGGATTGTGAACCGTAGGGTCATAGGGATTAGAGTCTAGTCGCCATATCGCGCCGCAGCATACCTATTATGCTAATAAACGCGTGGGATTTTGAATCTTAGAGACATATGCTAAGAGTAGTTTGCTTTAAAACTCATTAAAACTCATTTATTTCTGTAAATAGGCACTTTTACACGTCCCAGTATTAACCCTACCACTGCTTCAGGACAATAAATGGGCCAGTGCTGAGAAGAAGCAGCGCAAGAAACTCAGTCACTATTGTCAGCCTCTTTTTCAAAGGTTTACATGCTTTAAAATGTACAAAGTTATAAATATTTATGCGAGCTAGGCTAGGCAGTAACGTTATCCCAAACATTTTTATCTTTTAAATAATCATCGACTTTATAGTAGCCCTTTTTCATTAAGGTACTTTTAATATGTGCTTTGAATTTTTGAATGGGTAGTTCTATAACAGTTTGTGGTAATTTATTAAAGAATTTAATACATTTTCCCATAAATGAATTACCAATCTTATGCAATCTGAAATTTGGAACGGCAAGTTTATTTTTGTTTCTTGTATTAAAGTTATGCAAATCGTTCTTTTTCGTGAATTGCTAAGCCGCACAATACTTGCCACTCTCGCACAGTATAGAAAATATTTGAGAAAACATGCACTTTAGTGTGCTACGAGTCTAAAGCCTGGTCCGTGAGCACGTAGAATTTTGTCCAACGACCCCAAGCTACCCATCCTTATCGCTCGCGCGTAATTATGTTGCTGTCGCGCTCGCACACTCACTGCGGGCGCCCGTCGCACAGTCGCGACAGCAATATAAATACGCGCGAGCGATAAGGATGGGTAGCTTGGGGTCATTGAACCGGGCTTTAGTTTGCTACAACGGACTTGTGCGCTACGAAAAGAGCGTGCGTTGCGATTCTTGTATGCTACGGCTGATTGATGTGCTACGACACCACTATGCTACAGGCTACAGCCACAGTGTCTACTTTGCTACGGCGTATTCACGTATTATGCTACGACGTTAGTAGGCTACGATGTGCTACAAAACGTGTATGCGCTACAAGTATCGTCCGCTACGAACTTACGACAGTTTCGTAGTATGCTACAAGTTAAATTCGTTACAGCGGATTGATGTGCTACGAAACGAGAATACCCCACTATAAGGTTTGAAACTGCGATAAGCAGACGCCTGCGCGGTTCAAACAGAGTAAATACAAATGAGTAGGTCATCTTCATAGAAACGCACCGAGCGCGGTTTGTATGTGAGCGCGCCAATACGTATGCGGCGCGCACGCACACACTGACAAAATTTAGCGTGGATTAGCGGGGTGTGGACTGCGTAGTTTCAAGCCTAATAGTTCTAGCGCTAAACTCTGTCAGTGCCTGAGGTATGCGTGAGTATGAGTGGCACGTGGCACTCAGTTAAGCGCTACAGCTATAGCCTATTTTACTACAGCGAATCTATGTTGTTCGCTTTATACGACAGTTAATTTGCACAGTAGTTTTTATCAATTTTAAGACTCCTCTAAGCATTTCCGCTATCCTATACCGTATCTGTAATATGTGTGTTATCATCATCATCATTTCAGCTATAGGACGTCCATTGCTGAACATAGAATTGTATCTTCCTGCACATTTATGTACAATTTAATGCTGTTGAAACATTGTTAAACAAATAAAATAAAAAAAAAATAGGCCTCCCCCAATGATTTTTATATTGACCGGTTGGTGGCGGCCTGCGTCCAGCGCCTCCTTGCTTTATGGGGTCGTTGCTCCATATGATAATGGTATTAATTTTCTATTATCTTTCATTCCACCAGCTCGGAGGGTCTCCGCGGGTTCTTCAAAGGGCTGAGCATGAACTGGGTGAAGGGCCCCATCGCCGTGGGCATATCCTTCGCCACCTACGACTTCATCAAGTCCTCGCTTAGAGACATCGCGCTCGCGCTGGATAGGTAGAACTTATGGAGGGAAGAGTTTAACGGTGAGTAGATTGAACAGATACATGCGACGGAGACTAGAGAGCGTGACAGACTCGCCCTGTTTGTACTACCCGTTCGCGCTAAGTTTGCCGGTCCGTGGAATGCGCGTCCCCTCCCCCAATCGCGATTAAACGCAATTAGTTAGTGATTAAACACAATTAATGTGTCGTATTTTACGCAAATACACAATTTTTATCAATAATAATAAATAAAAAATATTTTAAATATAGTTTGATAAAGTTATAGACGCCTCGTTTCGAGTGACGTCATATCGCCAGTGGCAAACTTAAAGCGAACGGATAGTTGACCAGAGCGGCGATGTGACGTCACGGCCGCCTGGTACGCAGTTAACTTGACCGGATTATTAGGTACTACGTATTTTCCACATCTTTTTTTCGGTTCGAAACAAAATTAGTTTCCATTTTAAGCATACATTGAGACTTAATACTTTGAATTTTCTTTGTTCTTTGCAGCTTATCCTTTTGATTGCCGATGGGTCGCCACAAATCGACGCGTCCACCTACATTTTGTTGCGAATCAGATTCTATAGCAACTGTATAAGGTGCTAGTTAGCTTGTTGTGCCGTCGTCGCTATGGTTGTAAAATTATTGTAAATGATTAATAGTTCTTTTTGAGGCACAGTAAAGAGAGTTTTGTTCTATAGTTTTGTGAGCGGTTATGTAAATATCAATTTTAGCCGATTTATTTTTGCAATGTAAAAAAAATCACACATAATAACATACAACAACTTTTTGTATGGAATCATAACCGAAACTGTTAGCGTCAAATAGTTCGTGGCACCCAAAGTAGCCAAAAAGTTCGCAACACGTCTTTGTTACAATTTGATGTTTGAATAAGGAATGAATGTTTAAAAACCGCCTCTGTGGTCTAGTGGTAAGACCACCTGCTTCAGACGCAGAGGTCCCGGGTTCGATTCCCAGTGGGGGCAGATTTTTCTGTTCGGTTTGGTTGGTGGTAGGGCTTGTTCTAAGTCCGCCTGGCTAGCTACCACCATGTTGCTTATGACATAAATTAATTATTGTATTACTGAATTATTGAATTAAAATATGGATAAAAAATGTATTAATAAAACAACTTTCTTGAGCTGTCAAAGTAGAAGTAGTNGGACAACTACGGAACCCTACCTACACTGCGCGTGGCACGACACGCACTTGGCCAATTTTTTATTCTAATTATTATGGATTTTTGCATATTATTACAGAAGTGCACTAGTTTAGTAAACATTATGTAAAAAAGAGTATTTTAGCGTACTCTATTAGTGTTATAGATTATAGAGTACGCCTACATGATATAGAGGACAATACTCTATTTTAGAGTACGGTTGGCAACCCTACTTGCTGGGTAAAATAACGCCAGCTGTGCCCAAAAGTGAGTAAGTATTTAAACTTAGGTATTCGGAGTACCAACCGTGCGATGTGGAAGTCATTGGGGGAGGCCTATGTTCAGCAGTGGACGTCCTGTGGCTGAAATGATGATGATGATGAATCGCGTGGCAGGTCACCTATGCGCTGGACTGACTAAGTAAAATCAGCAGTGGGAAACCGCGTATCTGAATGCACCAGGCAGTCAGCCAACAGGGAGAGATGGCGGGAGATCGTGCGGAGAGCTGTATCCGCTTCTACAACCGACGACAACGCCTTAAAACCGCTCTGCCAGGAGCAAAACGAATAAGAAAAGAATGGTCATTGATATGAGGGTCAAATCATTTTTATAACATCAAAGATAATAAATTACCCGCAGATCTATATCAACCATGATGTACCTGATGCTATTGATAACAATCTTTGCAGAATCATCAACAATGTCTACTTATTATTAAGATTAGCAACATGCAGGACACATAATATCCACAACAATAAGTATTCATGATGCAAACCGTGCCTTCATTCTCTTCATTTCCACCTACACTATGAATTACGATCTCAAATTGCTTCTGTAATTGACCCCAATTTGTGGGCAGCTTGGGTCAGAGGGATCTTCGTGAATCACGTCAGAAAATTTTGACCTCATCGTTATGGGCCCGTTTAGACTCAGTGAGACTCCGAGGGTAATGCACGTGTCAGTATTTTGTTTAGTTTTTTAATTACTTATATGCAATTTTTCTGCAGAATTTGGGATCGAAAATGTGAGAAAATATTTTTACTTCAGGAGTAGGCCTGAAATTATCACGAAATGGAAGCTGAAACAAATGTAACTTTGCCTAGGGTGAAGAAAGATGTATTAGTTGTTCCAGAGTAGTGATTAAGAAGGAGTCTAACGAAGAAATGAGACATTTGGCGTCCCGATCTAGAGTCAATAGGGACGTGGGAGACCTATTGGAATCGGGACACTGTCAACGGTTACGTTTCATTGTTACTGATTTATTAGGTAAGAGTATAGTAAACATGGTTTCAGCCACTTGGCAACATAAATACCTAACTTTTAACTGACATATCATTTGATATTATCTCCGACAAGTTGATAAAGATTACGTAAAATGCAGTCCTTCGTTAAATACGAAGTAAATAAGATTTAAAGGCTTACAGTAAGCAAAAGTTAAAAATTGTCTAGTTAAATAGAAAATAAGACCTTGAAAGCTAGAACAGTGACTTTCGATTTTGTGGATGCACAATATCTGCTGTTTCATTTCTACAGCCACATATCTGTCGTCACATAAAAGAGTAAAAAAAGTCATTTCACCTGTGTGATTTCAGTCCTCAACTTCACAGCGTCATTAGGCCCAATAATCGTGCTGGAGAACTTGCTGAAGATCATCGGCACCTCTGGAGGTGTTAAGTTCTGTTCTTTGCAGTGGTCCAGATAGTTCAGGCCGACGCCAATCACTTTATCCTGGTTTGTGATGGGAGCCTCCAACCTGACTCCACTTAGGGGCACCCCTTGAGGCTTTTTAGCCTTTATTCTGTAAGGTTAAGGTAGGTTTTAGCTTGGCCTAGTGCTAAAGGGAGAGGAACTGTTGCAACTCGTGTACTATCACGCAATATCTAATGAAGCCACGATAGCCGAACGGTGAAGGAGTCGGACTGGCCTCGTGGTCTGGGGAACGCGGGTTCGGTCCCCGCCGCCGCTCGACTATTGTGGTGAGTTCACTCGTGATACAAGCATTTAGCTTAGTACGAGGGGCTAACGGGACTATTAGTAATTTGTGCAATAACAAATTACTAAAAGTGGGAAAGAGACTATTCCTAAATTGCGGTACCAACAGTACCCACAACCCAGAATCTATTACGATCTTCAGCTTGGCCGCAAATATAACTATCCAGTGAAGGTTGAATAGTCATGAACATTTGGCCAATAAATCTATCTTACAATATTATGTTGATCTTTTTAAATAAAAATCGCAAAGAAAGGTTGATATAAGGGTGTCCTGTATGCTACAGGAATCCTTATTTATACTTAAACTAGCTTTCTGCCCGCGGCTTCGCCCGCGTGGAATTTTGTTTGCCACAGAAAAACAATATCGCGCGCGTCCCTGTTTCAAAAACCGGGATTAAAACTATCCTATGTCCTTTCCCGGGACTCAAACTATCTCTGTGCCAAATTTAATTAAAATCGGTTCAGTGGTTTAGGCGTGAAAGCTAGAAGTATAGATATACATAAGAATAAAAAATAAACAAGTGTTGACTAGTGTTAATAGACTAACCAGGGGCAAATTAATTCATATCAACATAGTAATAAAAATAAGGTCAGAGAGACTGATACTTCATTAGAGCATTGTCAGTAAACCTTCTATAAAACTACATTATACAAAAACTTTAATAATCATGAATACAAGTAGGTTAATGATTTCTGTTTTGAACTTAGTAGTTCTTTAAAAAATATTGCGAAAAACCCTACCACTACTTACTAATTTAAACACTTACTTAAATGAAGCTGATGTTTATAAAGCTTACTTTTTAATTAAGATTATTTTTGGGGTAAATAAACTAAATAAAGATTTTATTAGATAGCTTAGCAAGGTAAGCAACAAAATAAGGGTTCATCAACTCTCAGATAGGCAACATGTAAAAACATTATAATAATTTTTATGAGCTTTTTGAACTTATTTAGATAAGTATCTTTAATTTACTGCCATAAGTAAAATATAAGCTTTTTGTTATAATAAATTAATAAATTGTTTCATACTAGTTTATTCTGTATTATTTAATGCCATTGCATGTGTTTTGCCTGAGCAATTTAATCTATGTGTGAAGCAAATTTGAATTAAACAATAAGTTAATTCACAAAGTTATGTTAATAAACTAAAGAAGTTTTAACAATTTATTGTTAGTCATAACTTTCTTATCATCAGTTTTGCTATTTTAAATGTTTCTTACCTAATGTATCTACATTCAAACAATATCTTACTGAAATAATTGTGATATCTTGTTTGCTACTGATAAGAATCTGAACGATCTAAGATAATGCATACTGTTGTCTATTGAATTGGCAATAATGACTATAGAATATTACAGACAAGTGGTTATTGAATTGGCAATAAGACTATAGAGTATGAAAAACAAGTGGTTGTGTGCGATGGAATTATTTTAATACAAATAAGTGACTATAACACTAAACTTATGGATAATACTTACTGAGCAATCCTTTCTATAGCACAATCCAACTTCAGAATGTCCACCAACTTCAGAGGAAGGGATCCGTCAGCCTTATTCAGGTCTACTACGTCGTCTCCCTCCATATAACCCGCTCTAACCTCGTCCGGTTTGGTGTTGTAAGTAAACTGTACGAGCTTCATATTTCTAGCCTGTGTAACTGAAAAGCACCTGACTGCGCTGAACGGCACACCGATATTGGCGAGTTCTTTACTTATCAAACGAGTTTTTATTGACGATAACGCGCGACTAAACGCCCAAACGCTTCCAGTCATGATCAAGGTTATACCGCGTCACTATTCCTATGTTGCATAAGACATAAATTAATTATGTGTATGAATTATTGAATTAAAATATGTATAAAATGTATGAAATGAAACAACTTTCTTGAGCTGTCAAAGTAGAAGTGATGATTTTATTTTGTTTTGTAAAAAAGAGTAAAAAAACATTAAAACCTCTTTTGTTGGTTCTCAACATAGTTTCGCGCGCGAAATGAATGCGCGACACGCATAAAAATTAATCTTAATGGATATGAATAAGTATGAAACAAATAATTAACCTTACAATTAAAATAATTAATACTTGCAATGACTATTTAAATAAAATTTTCTAATTGTAACATAAATTATAACAACCTTGTAAAACTAAAAATTCAATCGACTGGTAAAACAATTATAGAAGAAATTGACCGCCTATAGGAACCTTTACTGGTTTTTACATTAACGACTCTAATCATGTTGTCAGGTCCAGCAAAAATCTTTTCTATTCTACCCATTGGCCATTGCAAAGGCGGACAATTGTCTGTTTTGATAAGCACTAGCATGCCTTCTTTTAAGTTTGGCAAAACCTTCAACCATTTAGTTCGGGAGTTAAGCATAGAAATATAATCTCTATTCCAAACGTGCCAAAAGTGCTGCTTCATTTGTAAGCATCTGCGCCAAAATCGCAGCCTATTAGTCGGAACAGGGGTAATGTCAGGCTCAGGTAATGCAGTGATTGGACAACCGATCAAAAAGTGACCAGGTGTCAAAAAAGAGAAATCAGAGAGATCCTGAGACATTGAAGTTAAGGGTCTAGAATTTAAAATACCTTCTATCTCTATTATTAATGTATTTAATTGTTCATAAGTTAGAGAATTTATGCCCACTATTCTTTTAAAATGATGCTTTGCTGATTTGACAGCGGCTTCCCATAAGCCTCCAAAATTGGGACTATATGACGGAATAAAGTGAAACTGAATACCTTTTTGAGCTCCAAAATCTGTAATAATATCAATATGATTCTGATTTTTGTATAATTGTATAAGTTGAGTATTGGCACTTCTAAAAGTACTCATATTGTCGCAGTACACATCTGTCGGCATTCCGCGACGGGAAATAAATCTCTTGAAAGCAGCTAAAAAACATTCAGTGGTTAAGTCCGACACTGCTTCTAAATGCACTGCTTTAGTTACAAAGCAAATGAAAACGCAAACGTAACCCTTGGAAATCACAGACCGACGCAAAGAAGACTGTTTCACATGAACAGGTCCAAAATAGTCTATTCCTATCTTAGAAAAAACCCTTGCTGGTACTATACGATCACGCGGTAGAGATCCCATGAGTTGTTGCGTACCTTGACATTTAAGTCTAAAGCATGTTAAACATTTATGTATAACCTTTTTAATTTCTCTTACGGCATTAACAATCCAATAATTTTGCATCAGACTGCTATGAGTTAGTTTTAATCCAGCGTGCAATAATGAAATGTGCTCATTTTGGATTATTAATGCTGTAACATTACATCTTTTTGGTAATATTAAAGGAAACCTTTTGTTGTAACTCAGCTGGTTGGCCTGCTGAAGACGACCACCTACTCTTAACATTTTGTTAGAGTCCAAAAATGGATGTAAAGCTTGCAAATTTGATTTGATAGGACGACCATTTAGCAAACAATCGATTTCCTCACTAAAGAAATGATCCTGTACAAGTTGTATAATCTTTAACTTTGCATTTTTATACTCTTGAGACAAGGAAGTATTAACATCATAACTTCTTTTGCATTTTGAAATGAATCTCATTACATAAATCATGATTCGAATCATTTTTCCAAAGCTTGAAACCTTGTCTAACAAAGGAAATAATTGTTTTTCAGATGTTTGATAACTTAAACTTGGATTATTATCATTACATTCGATCAAAATAGGCAACTCTACATTAGACATAGAAATGTTATAATTATTTCCTGCTAGAAAATCAGGTCCATGCCACCATAAATTATTTCCCTGCAATTGATTTGGATCAGTTCCTCGGGATAAAACATCAGCTGGATTTAGCAACCCAGGAATATGTAGCCAAGTAGCTTTACATTTGTTAATTTCAGCAACTCGGTTGCCCATATAGGCTGGAAGTTTAACAGGCAACGACTTTAACCAACTTAAAACTATTTTTGAATCAGTGAATAATATACAGTCAGATATTTGTGGCATTAAATCTTGGATGGAGCGTGTCAGTTTAGCTAGTAGTACCGCGGCATTCAACTCAAGTTTAGGAATAGTCATTTTACCGTCTATAGGAGCGAGCCGTGACTTCGCACATAACAAATTTATTTGACATTCACCATCCTTGACAACTTTTATGTAAATACAGCAACCATAGGCTTCTGAAGAGGCGTCACAAAAACCTATGATTTGAATCGCATCAGCATTAGACATTTGTAAATTTCGCTGTACATGAATAGGAGACATAGATTGCATCTCATTATAAAAATTCAGCCATAATATATACAAATCTTGTGGGAGAGGTTCATCCCAACCTAACTGACATAACCATATCTTTTGAAGCAATAATTTGGCCTTGACAATTATAGGATTAATCAAACCCAATGGATCAAAAAACTTGCTAATGTAACTCAACACGTTTCTTTTTGTAGGTGCGTCAATATTATGAGATTTAGGCTCAGCAAATTTAAATTGATCCCCTTGCACTTCATAACTGACTCCGAGAGTTTTTACAACAAGTGGGTCATGATGATCAAACTTGACTGTATCAAAGCCTAAACTTTCTTGTGGAATGTCAGACAGTATATTTGAATCGTTGGAGCACCATTTATGTAGCTCAAAACCACCTAAACGCAACAAAGCGATTAATTCTTGTTTAAGTAGAGCGGCTTCCTCGGTACTAGCGGCTCCTACAATTACATCATCAATATATGTATTATTTTTTAAAGCTTCCGCGGCAAGCGGAAAGCGCGCCCCGTGAATCCTTGCAAGCTCGATGAGGCAACGAGTTGCTAAAAAAGCAGAACTAGTTAACCCGTAGGTAATCGTTTGCAACTGCAAACATTTTAAATCATCGTTCTGATTTTCTCGCCACAAAATATTTTGTAAAACTCTATATTTAGGAGATATTAAAATTTGGCGATACATATGGCGAATATCACACATCAAAACTACCTCATAAGTTCTAAATTGGACGAGTATTTCAAATAATTGTCTTTGAACGACATCACCATTGCATAAAATATCATTTAAGCTATAAGGTGAAGCCTTTGCTTTAGCGCTCCCATCAAAAACTACCCTGAGCTTATTAGTTTTCCTATCTGTGCGTACGACTGCATGATGGGGCAAGAAATACTTAGGGAATTCTTCAGGACTACATTGTGACACATCAATTAACCTTCCGTGACCTAATTCAAGGTATTCCCTTATAAAATCAACATACATTGAATGAAATTCAGGCTCCTTTTTGAATCGTTTCTCTAAGTTATAAAATCTCTGCAGCGCGAGAGAAAAGGAGTCTGAAGGATTAATTGTATCTAAATCGACCTTGACTGGCAAATCGACCTCAAAACGATTGTCTTTTAGATTGACCGATTTAACAAACTGCTCCTCGCTAAATTCGTGCTCTTGCAAGGATTCGTTAAATACCTTAGGTACCTGCTCAGAATCCCAGAAACTCCTAACAAGACTGTCAACATTCAACTCGGGAGTCATTTGCGAGTGCAAGGCGATCGACATATTATTAGACAATGGTTTGAAGTCACCTGATAATCCAGATACCACGTAGCCAAACCGCGTGTTGATAAGTATTGGATCCATTGGGCCTCCTTCAATTTTTCCATCTTTGATTATTTTAAAAAAGATGTCAGTGGCCAACAGTAGCGACACCTCGCCTGGAATGTTAAAATCAACATCAGACAATGTGATATTGGATGGTATTACAAAATTATTTACATTTACTTTACACTGAGGCAACAGTGAAGTTATTTTATGTACAACTGAGCATGAAATATTCAATGAAAAATCCTCAGACATTGATATCAAACATAAATCAACTGCCTTTTGCACCTTTGTTGAGTTTTGACCCAATGTAAGTATATTTTTTGGATGATTATATACATTGAGACCTAATTTGTCTACTAGAGCCTGAGTACAAAATGTAGTTTGGCTCCCAGAGTCTAATAATGCTCTGACAACATGCCGTTGATTGTTTGGCCCTTGAATTGCGACTTTCACTGTGGGCAATAAAATTTGCGAATCGCTATTTACAGACTCAAAATGACACGCATTATTATTTACAGTGTCATCAGGTTTTTTCAATGAATTATTTACAGAATGAGATAGCTGAAATGAACTATCATGCAACAATGTATTATGAGATTTTCCTTTACATATTGTACAAATGAAATTATATCTGCACTTTTGCTCGTGCTTATTTAAACAAATTGAGCATAAATCATTTTTATTTACATATGCAAGCCTTTCAGCAACAGGCATGAGAGTAAAATTTGGGCATTTATACAACCTGTGACCGTTTTTACATAATATACAAGAAACTGGTTTGCTCTTATTGGATTTGGTCACACAGTCTGAAATATGAAGGGACTTACTGTTCGAAGGCTTTGATGAGCGGTCCGCGTCGCTGGACGAGCTAGCCTCCAGCGAGATAGCACGTCTCTCCAGAAAACACAGCAGCGACTCCATACTGGGCATGCTACGAAAGTCCTGTTCTGCATTAAATAATCTCAAAGTAAGCGAATCTAGTTTCTTCATCATAATGCAAACCAATATGGAGTCCCAGCTTTCAACCGGCTCATCGTAGCTGCGTAGCGCGCTTATTTGCTGCGAAATCTGCGACACCAAGGAACGGATGGCCTGGGAAGTGCCACGCGTTAAAATAGGCAGATCTAAGATAGCACTAATATGCGTTTTTATTAACAGTCCCTTGGTATCGTATCTTCTATTCAATAAAGCAATAGCGTCATCATACGACTGATTATATTATAGTAAAATTTGGGCATTTATACAACCTGTGACCGTTTTTACATAATATACAAGAAA